TCGGTCACTTAAAGCAGTATCGGCTGATGATCACTGATGCCAATAATACTTGGTTACAATACTTAATGCCACATGTGCAATATGTGGCATTGTAATAAGTATTGAATCCCAATTCCCTCTCTAAGAGGAGATTAGGAAATAATGCATGGATCAATATACTAGGGCTGGACCCGAATATCCAAATATTAGTTCGGTGGGTTGGTATTCGATTTGAAAATGTGACATTCCAATATTCGTTGTTTTTTTTTCGCACCTGGAATCCCCCTCGAAACAGTTCTCAATCGCTATTGAATTTATTTTACACTATAAGATCTTGTGAAATATAATACTTAACATTACTACTTAAATATATTGGCTTCTTCTTGGACTACTAAGTGTTCTTGCACCAGGAGTATTGTCCGGCTAGAGCGCAGAACAGCGGAGTTTGTATGGACAGAAGTGCATGCCTGCGCTTGTATTTTGGGTTAAGCTGCATTGCTTTGACATTGTGGAAAACAGAATACTAGAAAAAAAATGTATTATCTTTTTTACCCGTTATTATCAATCTAAATTAATCTACTACGAAATGTAGGAGACTTTGAGAGAATTTTGATATTTTTAGGTCAAACTGTTATTGTCTGTCAGTCATATAATGCTTCCTCAAGTAGCATGCACAGAAAAGTCCAAATTAAACATGATTTAATAACTCTAAAAATGTAAGTACACATTGATGGCCTAAGACACGAAACGAGGGGTTTGTGTGAGAAAACGAACAGTATTTATATTGTTTTTACCTCTTGTAATCACAGCCACATCCAAGTGATCTGAGGGCGAGGGCACTTCTATATGTGCAAGCGCCGGAAAGCCCAAGAAATGATCTCTCGCGCATGTACGTTGTTTAGTTTACCTTTCACTGTGAAGATCTAAACATATTTAGATACACAGGAAATCGCAATGGAAGACGATTTCAATATTTAGATCTTCACAGCGAAAGGTAAAACTTCCGAAATCTCTGTGTAACCAATGAGTGACGTATATGCGCAAGAGATCACTTCCGGGGCACGCCGGCACGGTTGCGCAGACAGAAGCGCCCACTCCCTCAGATCACTTGGACGTGGCTGTGATAACAAGAGGTCAAAACAATATAAAAACAGTTCGTTTTCTCACACAAACCGCTCGTTTCGTGTCTTAGGCCATCAATGTGTACTTACATTTACGAGTCATTAAATCATGTATAATTTGGACTTCTCTGTGCATGCTCTTTGAGGAGGACCCCATATACCTCCATTATATGACTGATAGGTCATGGTTTGTTATTTCTCCCAGGAAACTCGCAGTAATTTGCATCGCCCAAAGCCCTTTATGAATTATCAGACCAATATGTTTGTCTAATGTTGACCAGTTGCCAGATCTTGTATTGAATGCATTATATTCACACAACATACACAATTTCAATCCGTTTTTTCATCTCAACCTGGCAACAAATACCCCAGTTGCGCAGTCGCAGAAAGCTCAACCTGAAAGCGAGCAAAAAAATCTGTCTAAACAGATGCATCAACAGCCGTTCATTTAAATGATAATGTTTAGCGCCATATTCGTCTTTATATTTGCCTTGGTGTAAACATAACTTGGACTAGTTGGAAACTGGAATGTGAACAAGTACAAGTTACTAGCTGCCGACTCATCTGTATGATTATCATCATTATGAGGATGTGAAAAACAATGTGGTGGTGTCTCTCAGCATTTACTTACCCTCAGGCTCTGATACTTCCAAATTGGCATCCGTATCAAGACCTGCAGGAATATAAAATGCTTATTTTTTTTAGCTGTAATTATGCAGAACAGTCTAGTTACTAAGAATACTTATCTTAAAATGGTAACCGCACGTCAACATTAAACACATTTGAGGACAACAAACTGCACTCTGCATGTAATGATAGTTTGTGAACAGCATATCTTCCACTTGTGGTAAGACAGAGACAAGTTATAGGACCGGTTTCACAGACAGGGCTTAGAATAAGCCAGGATTAGTTCGATAAGGGCATTTAAATAGCTTTTATAAACATGCCTTGGTGTGCATCTTGAGACATAACAATGGCACTGACATATTTTATGATATGTCAGTGCAAACTGCTTTCAATTAAAACATCTTAAAGGGATAGTTCACTTTGAATTTAATTGTTGATATGTTTTAGCTTACCTCAAGGGCATCCAAGATGTAGTTGTCTTTGTTTCCACAGTATTTTCAATTTTTATATTTTTCGGTCAAACCGTTGTTGTCTGTCAGTCATATAATGCAGGTTTAGGGGGTCCACCTCAAAGAGCATGCACAGATAAGTCAAAATTAAACATGATTTAATGACTCGTAAATGTAAGTACACATTGATGGCCTAAGACACGAAACGATCGGTTTGTGTGAGAAAACGCACAGTATATCGTTTTTACCTCGTGTAACCACAGCCATGTCAAACTGATCTGAAGGCACAGGCGCCTTCGGTCTACGCATAAGCCAGAAGCGATCGCTTGCGCGTGTATGTCACTCATTGTTTACACAGAGATTTGGGAAGTTTTACCTTTCACTGTGAAGATCTAAATATCAAAATCGTCTACCATTGCAATTTCCTGTATATCTAAATATGTTTAGATCTTCACAGTGAAAGGTAACACTTCCGAAATCTCTGTATAAACAATGAGTGACGTACACACGCAAGCGATCACTTCCGGTGCATGTGCAGACCGAAGCGCCCGTGCCTTCAGATCAGTTGGACATGGCTGTGGTTACACAAGGTAAAAACTATATAAATTCTGTTTGTTTTCTCACACAAACCGCTTGTTTCGTGTCTTAGCCCATCAATGTGTACTTACATTTACGAGTCATTAAATCATGTTTAATTTTGACTTCTCTGTGCATGCTCTTTGAGGTGGACCCCCCATACCCCCATTATATGACTGATAGACAACAACGGTTTGAACAAAAAAAATATCAAAATTGAAAATACTGTGGAGACAAAGACACCTACATCTTGGATGCCCCTGAAGTAAGTTAAAACATATCATAAATTACTTTCAAACTGAACTACCCCTTTAAACATTTGTTTTAGTCTGTGACTAACTTAAGCCTGGTCAATGAATCTGAGAGACAGGATCCCAATTCTTCAACAAACTCCCACGTTGTCCAAATTAGTTAATTTGCGACAAATCATGAATTTAAGTAATTCTGTAGCCTGACTCCCACGGTCAAATGTAAAACTCTCAAATCTCTTACAATCATTTTCATATAGCTTATAAGGCCCTTTATCTACAGAGGCTATTTTATATGTAAATAAGCTTGGTAAAGTTAAACAAGCAGATCAGATCATATCACCGCGCTTACCTCCATTACACGCTACATTGATCTTTCCAAGAAGACCTCCAGTGTGTACCTTATACACACACTGTTTTCAAATACAACAGGTAACACGAAGGCTTCAGGTATAGAGTTTGAAACTTGGCTGTAGTGGCAACATTTAGCTGCGGGACAATCCATATTTTCTGGTAGGTAATACTCTGTATAACAGTATTTAATCTAAAACTAGGAGGGGAAACAATTCTCGTGTCATAATGGAGATTAAGGGCAACAATTGATTTTCATTGTTACACTATAATAGCAAAGCGCATAAAGGTAACGTTACATTATGTTTGCACTAATACAGCATGGGGGGTTGGGGGCAAACCTCACCATTGAACAAACCCCAGCCAAAAGAGACCACACAAACACTCGAGCAAAGAAAGAATATATTTGATTATGAAGCGCCAGGCCTCTGATCATCAGTATTGATAATTGCAATGCTAACAAGCGGTAACGTTATGTTCACGTGTATCAATAAAATCGCAATAACATGACTAAAGCTACAGCTAACTGTATAGTTAACCAAATAACTAATTGAACACACGTTTACCTCTTTATTTAAAGCCAGGTATATATTATTATAAGGCTAAACATGCTTCTCAACCACCTAACTTCCATACAAAGTCTCCACCCAAATTATTCACTTTCTAGCACGAACATCTGTTACAGTGTTATTATCGTGTTAACGAACGCTTATTCTTCACGTCAAGCGAGTTTTTCTGATTGCTAACTTCCATATTAACGCTAGGTTACACGTTGGCCACGTTTCCGCTTCGAGCCGTTGACGGTAACTCTCATGTAGCATCAATGCTAAGCTCATGGGAACAAGCGTGTGTGAGGCTAACAGCTAAAGCGGTTAACAGACGTGAAAACACCGGGAACTCACCCGCTGACTCCACAGTTTCCGTGGAACCCTTCGGCAGGAAGGTCGGGATGAATTCTGCGGCATGCACGTTGGGGACAAACGGCTTGGCGTCCACGTTAAGGGTGGTAGTAAGAGCATTGGAAAGTTGCACGTCGACCTGGGCCTCGCCATCGTCCTCCTGATCCCAGGAATCAGGGGCAGTGTCTATCGCTTCCATCGCCACACAGCTGTTCCACACACGCGCGCTTTAAAGCCACTGACTTGCTCACGTTTTTGTCCGGCCTTAGCCGCTGTTAAGGTCACCCCGTACGTTGGTAAAACTTTTTGTTTGTGGCGTATGGCCTTGCCCCCGTTTGGTTGAAATCAGCCGGTGTCTCTCAGCGAGGGGCGAGAGAAAGGGAGGTTTGACTAAGCGCTCGGAATGAGTCCTCGTGTGCGCTGACTACTCCCCTGACCCCAAGGAGCAACAGGGAGTTGAATTCTGGGAAATGTAGTAGTTTAGCTTCTGACAAAACACGAAAGGCTTCTGAGCGGTGTCGATGACAAAACTACATGTCCGCATTTTGTATGAACCCGACTACCTCTTTTACTTACTCCGTTCACCGCACTTATGAAACTATATTTAAAAATGTATTAGAAGCTTAACGTTAAAGTCACTTTCATAAGCTTTTAATGTAACAAAACAGCCCTTTTAGCTAATTACATTAATTGTATAAAAAATTCCCATTACATCTTAAAGGCAGTTAAAAAAAACACTGTAAAGTCATATTTTAGCATTTTCTTTATTGTCATTTACTTAACTGCTCATAATTATGTAAAATAATTGTTTATTATAAAAAAACACTCTTCATAAGTTTGACACAATAAGTCAGTACTCATTTCATCCAAAGAAAAATCTCAATTATTTATTGCACCAGTTAAGACAGAATCATTTTTGAAAAAAGGAGCAGATCTACAATTACATTATTCAGTAAGGAAGCAAAGTTACAGAAAGAGCACTTTATACCCCTCAAAATATGGATGGATGTGATAAAACTGTAGTGAATTTCTTCTCATTTATAATTCCCACAATATTCATACACTAAATGAAACTACATTTCCCCAGTAGCAATGCTTTTTTTGTGTGCTAAAACCATTAACATTGGTGTAAACAAAAAATAAGGATCTTCCTTTTAGAACATTATGTGTAGCCTTCATAAACATCCCAAAAAATGTAACAATTACTCAAAGAGACATCTCTGAAACATTCTTCACAGTGAGAACAGTCTAATAATCATTTCACTATTGGTAAAACCAAAAGTGCTGGATGGGTATCTGTTTGATTTGAACTTCTTTTACACACAGCAAATGTTACTCATGTCTCTAAATAGCCTAATGTTCTCCAAGATAATTATTTATAGTATAAATAAATATTCTGCTGTTCTGGTTAAAGTGTGACATTCTGTACATAAAAGTGCAATAAGGCTATCATTTGATTAGAAACAGCTGCAAGAAGTCTTCAAGCATCAACTTTCCTTCTTATACATCGGCCTTTAGAGAGCACATAAAGCAAGACCATCTTTTGGCAAACAAGACATTTTGACATTAACAATCATGACAGTAAGGCCACAATAGCCCTTTCGTTGTGTAAATAATGCGTGGAAACGGATCAGAAAACCTGTCAGACAGGCCTGTAGATGACAAAGATAAGCATTCAAAATCAAAACCTAAGACGTACTGCCACCCATAATGGTAGAATATATTGGCAATGCACATAAAGAACCGTGAGCAGACCCTATAACATATGATTAACCAAATTTAAAAAAGTGCAATTGATTATTTAATAACTAATAAGGGACGTGAGATTTAGACACATATTCAGACATTATTTTCATGAAATTCCAGTGTTTTGTTATTTGCATCTAAAGCTGCTTCTTTTCTTAATTTCAAAAGTGGTTTGCTCAAAAGCATCAAGGTTATGGACACATATTCCTCTGTTATATAGAGCAAACCTCAAGAGCAACCATTTAGGAGTGGTCTTATCTAAGGTGGTCTACACTCTCTGTCTCTTGTCCCTCTGGCACACGCTGGTCGGATGAAGCTGTATCCTCCGGTATGTGCGCAGGATTCTCCTGAGGGACCTCCGCCTCCTCCACATCAGTGACCTGAACCGGTGCCGTTTCCCTGAACGATTCTTCGAGCTGGCTGACAGAGCTGGTTTCACTAATAGAGTCTGAGCCTGCTCCATGCCGCCGGAAGAGTTTTTGGCCTGTGAATCACATGGTGTGATTAATCTGAGAGGTATGTGAACATCAATGAAACACATTGATGAATAATTCTAATGTCAAATAATGATAATTTCATTATTTTGTGGACGCAGAGTAATTCGATGTAATTAGGGTCATACTGATCTTAGATCAAGATGGTACCTGGAAACCGTTTGGTGCTGGACTTGGGGGAATCAGGGGAAGCTTCTGTATTCATCTGGGCTTTTATGGAATAAACAGGCTCGGTGCTGTCCAGACAACCTATGGAGAAAAAAAAAATAGATACTGTATACAAACCTAAAAACTACAAGTTCTCTTGACAATTTCATTAGAAAACATTTTTAGCACATATATACATTTATATATACTGTATTATATACCTTCAGCTAGGTTAAAAGTTCTTCCTTTGACAGAGGCCTGAACCGGGGAGAACCAGTTAAGCACAGAGCCCACTAGAGGAATTTGTCGAAGTACACCCTAAAAAATAAATGGAGAAAAATTACACATCAACATGGTCTCTATTGGAATGATTTATGGTGTATTTAATCAGAAAAAGAATTTCACAAAACTACTTTACTTTCCTTTATGTTTTGATTGAATACATGTAATAATTATTAACATTTATTATTATATTTATTTATAATGAATTACGATTTGAGAAGTTCAACTGAATTTCTAAATGTCTATTTGGTTTATTGTAAAACACGATGATCATGTTCTCCATCATGATTTTTGAATGATATAAAGAGCATCTTCAACGGAAACAAGAACATTTGACCATCTGAAAAAGGAGTCACATGATCAATATCACATAAGCCCTGGTTACATCTGGTATTAAGATGCATTTCAGTCGATCAAGTGGACGACACTAAATGCATTTGTAAACGGGGGTCCAAAATGTTGAGCATGTCCACTTTCGACCAATTCCAGAGTTAGTTGAAAATCCATTCGACTGGATTGCTTTCGTAGTGTAGACACTCATGTGGCCGAATGTGTTTGAACAGCCACAAAAGACCGTCTGCTCTCCGGCTACTGACCTAATGCCTAAACCTTATGGGAAGCGCACTAGCCCGACGGGATTTAAACTCAATTTGGTTTGAAGAAGAACAATGTACTAAGCACAATGTTCTCTCACCATTCCTTATTTCTAACACACATTCACTTTCTTCGCTGTGGTCTTGTCAGAGCAGAAACAAAAGTTGTGTGTTTTCTCTTTGTGTGTTTTCCCATCCTCTCATTTCGCATTCATATGTAAATTGCATGAGCTCATTTCATCCATTAGATTGAAAGTCCATAAATTTTAACCACCCCTTCAAAAAATCAGGACAGTATTGGTTGAAACTGGACAAAAGAGATGGATTAAAACACCAAGTATAAACAGGATGGTGTAAAATGTATTTTTCCTAGAAATTAAGTGCCAAAACTTGCTTAAAACTTTCTTTGGTTCAACTATTTCAGAATCCTGAAAATTGTTTATTTTCAGGGTTAAAGAAGTTTTTTTTGGTCCACAGTCTACTTACACATATGCACTTACCTCCTCAATAAGTTTCTCTTCATTTGCTTTCTGAAGCTGCAGCTCAGCTTCCTGAATGCCTCTTCTCACAACCTCAGTCATGTTCTCAAACAACTAGGCACAAACAGATGCATTATTTCTAATTATTTATCTGATATTCGGTGTCTACTCAAATTATTAAACACCTGTCCAAAAGAAAAAAAAAATGAAAGCATACCTTTCCACTTTCCTCAATGTCTCTTCCAACAGATCCTATAGTTTCCACCAACTCTGCCACATCCAGGTCTTCAGTTGCCATTCCAATAAATATGCCATTAGTTTCTTCACAAAACTCAGGACCTGGACACAATACAGCAGTTCTGAGGTCACAGAATTCATGTGAATTTAAAAGCAATGCTACAGCTGTCAATCATGGGAGCATTAGTCATTTACCACAAGAGAACTCCAGGTCTGTATCAAGCTCCATCAGTTTCTTAAGCAATTCACTGTTGATCTTCTCCACCCTTTGTTGTCTCTTATCTTCATCAAGGTCTGTGTTTCTGGGCTCATACCTGAAAAAAAAAAGAAACTATCAGGCACTGTGGAAATGTGCAATAAGGAAAGTTTCCTTCTTCCTCAGAATGAGGGAATATCTGGTAGGGTCAATGTTGACTCACCTAACAACTCCAAGACCAGGCCAGCTCAGGTCCTCAATGTATGAGAGTGAAGCTTGCTGTAGCACCTCATCCTTGAAGTCCTGTCTGAAGCGTAGGGTGCAGCACAGGACTGGAATCAACTCTCCCAGCTTCTCCACCAGTGCCGCCACATCATTCTCCTGAGTGCCAAGGGCTACACACACACATATACCACCACCATTGTTAGCATGAACATGGCAACATGAATTAGGTCTGTGAGAAAATTTGGCCAAAGAAAACAGCTTTTACTTGCCATGCTCAGAATAATACATATGTTTCTTTGCCCAGCCATTCAAATGTAGACATGCATTTTGACAAAATTCAGTTTATTGCGAGCAACAATATATATATATATATATATATATATATATATATATAGTACATGTAAATAACATTCTATGGGCCTATTCTTCTTAGTTTAACCCACATAATTTTAAGAAAAGTTCCACCCAGTTTGTCTCCAGTTTCTTAGTGTGTTAGCATTCCAGATTTTTAATTATCTCCCAAATGTCTTACCTGCAGCGGTCATGAGGGGGCTGAAACGAACACACGTGCCCTCATCTTCCAGCTCAACCACATCTACGCCGCTGAGGGGAACCTGCAGCGCCAACTGCTCACCTAACTGTCAAATCAGATCAAAGCAGTCGGGTCACTCGTTTGTAAGAAAAGCATCTAGGGTGTATATACAGGTCGCACTGCATTCTATTATACATGCCCAGCTTACTTATTTCACAACTTACTAATTTCCTATAATATATTGTTAAGGAGAGAAGCATTTACCCATCTGTTAAGGGCATCAATGATATCTCTCTCTCCCGCAAAATATCCTTCAACTGAGCCGCCACTCGAGGCTGAAAATTAGAGTTTTTGGCTGTTAGAGATATATTTACACACACCACTATTCAGAAGTTTGAAAGTAGTCTCTTATGTTTACCAAGGCTGCATTTACTTGGTAAACATAATAATAGTAAAAACAATAATATAATTAAATATTTTGTAACATTTTAAATGTGTTTAATGTCACTTACATTTTGAATTTAGTCCATTCTTGCTGATTAAAAGGGCAACGCTTTATTTTAGTGTTCTTGTTACATGTAGTTACTATAATAACTATAAATTATGTATAACTACATGCAACTAACCCTAAACCAAACCCTAACCCTATAGTAAGTACATGTAGTTAATTAATAAAAAATGTATAAATACAGTGCAACAAAGACACCTTAAAATAAAGTGCAACCAATAGAACCATATACACACAACCAAGGAAAGGCAACTTACGAGCGCTGTTGTCTTGTGAAAACCTGAACACTACCACGGGAGAATTCAGTTCATCCTCCACCTACAAAGATCAGAGAGACACAGAGGGTGGGGACGGGGTCTCAAAACACCTGTGACACATCTGAGGATTTATTACAGGAGGCCTTAAAGTCATGCTGTGAGCACTAACATGTTATTGTAACAATTGGTTAAGTATTTAAATGCTGTGATGCAATGTCATGGAGAGGCTTTTTGTTTGCTAGCTACAGGTTTGACAGGTCAATCTAGACAATGTGGCACATGACATTAAGTCATGCATACGTGCTGCTGGAACCTTTGCTATAACTAAGAAAAGCATATAATTCATTAAATTATGCTTCTCACATGATTAATGGACATTTTCATGAATAAACGTCATGAATAAAAAAAAAAAAAGCCTAACAAATATCATTCAAGAGACTCTTTTGTGTCCAAGCCATTTAAACAAATGTAAGATTTGTTTTATAAACAAATGACTTCATTGAGCCTCTTAAAAACATTAAATATACATTGTAATGTGCTTCCTGTTTTAGCTACACATATAGTCGCATCTAACGTATGAATAACTCTTAATAGTACGAGTGTTAGTATTACACACAGGAACATCAGATTTGCTCCATCTCTCACAAAGGCCATTTTGAAGAAATCTGCTTATTTCCCATGATGTTGCTCTAAAGCGAGGTCCAGCATTGATGCCCAACAAGTCATCAAGCTCTGTGAAGTGACATTCCTAATGTTGTGTACACATGCCTGTAGCACTGGCAGGCCTTTACAGGAGTAAAAGCCTTTAAACTGAGCACCAGCACTTATGGGTGGACATGGTGAGGGAGGGAACAGTGGAGAAACAGCGCAGGTGAAAGGGAGGAGTGGAGTGGGATCAAGCAAGCAGAGGATTGGTCCCACCTACAATAGAGAGTATAAGAGAGCCCAGCACGTCCCGCAGCGAGCCCCCGGAGATGGGAGGGACCCGGGAATGAGACACCACATCCTGAAACCAAGGTACCCACGCTCACTAACACACTATGTATACAGTATAAGAGCTGCACACATTGCTGACGGTCACAAACCACACCGCCAACATACATATGACAAACACTCTGCTCTTTACCATGCGCAAAGCCTCGAGGAGAGACACCTCGCTGTCAAGGATATCCTAATGGTGGTGACACAGAACAAAGGTGTTTGCTTTTAAGGTTTAAGCCTAGATTCTCTGACTGAAAGAAAAAAAGTGGGCCACTGATAAAATGGAAGAAAATGTTCAAAAAGCTTAAAAAAAGTGTAAATAATATCTACCAATGGTAGCTGATATATTCATTTTCAGCTGAAATATTTTAGCACTGTGATATAGTATGGGTTTAAATGGCAGAAATGTCTACCAGTGATGATAATATCAACAACATTTTAAGAAAAAGGTCACTAGTAAAAGAAAAGTTGGGTCATTTACTCACTTTCAAGTCATTCCCAACCCATCGACTTCCTTTCTTTCATTAGGGATGCACCGATATGAAAATTTTGGCCGATACCGATAACCGATTATTCTTTATATTTGAAAGCCGATAACCGATATATCGGCCGATAAATTTAAATCCAAATTTGTATCTAATTTTGAGAGCCTGATTACAAAAACAAAAATCTCATAATTAAATCCATGTCCCAAGCGCACGATTATAATGATGTTCTCATTATAGTTTTGTATAGCCGATATGACAGATTTGCGCTGCATTGCGAACCGTATTTTCATTTTTTGAAGAGATTTCAACCATATTTCAAGAAATTCAAAAACATAAACAGTGCTCAACAAGTGTCTCAGCTGAAGGGAATAATACATTATTTATCGGCTTTAATATATCGGCCACATTTTCTTACCAGGCCGATAATGATAACATAAAAAATGAACATATATCGGCCGATACCGATATGCTGGCCGATATATCGTGCATCCCTACAAAATAGGTTAATTTTTAAAGCATATTGTGATTGATATTTCCCATATAATGAAAGTAAATGGGAACTGGGTCTGTCAAACTCCTAAATGAAAAAAGCACAATATCTTGTACTATCATTTTATGCCTTTGGAAGCCATACAACATTGTTATTTTAATTGTATTTATTTATTTTATTTGTTATTTTTATTTTTTATTTTCTGTTTCTACCACAATAACGTATTTTATTTGAGGTAGTGTGCAAAGCAACATTTCTACTTTTCATTTAAGAGCTTTAAGGTTCAGTGTTTCTTATATTTATAGCTTTATTTCAATTAATTAAAATGATTTTTAATAGTTTTAATGAACAATAACAACACTGCTATAGAATAGTTTTGTGAGACAACAAACCATAATACAAGTAATTATTCACCAAATATTTTCTGTGAATATGAATTTGAGCGAAGCAAAGTGAATCTGTTCCTCACAGAAGCTATCGTATAACTTAAATTTAGTGTTTATTCCATGGAAGAAAAATGTATTTGTGTTTGGAACAACATAGGGCGAGTGAATAAAACTATCATTAATAGATGAACCAACACCAACTCCGGGTAGAGGAAATACTGATACACAGAAGCTTCACATACTTATTTGTGAGGACTGTGGTGTAATTGTAAAATACTGTACCGACCTACAGCTAAATGGGTCAAGACAAGTTTACCTACCGAGGTTTTTATTGAAGCCAGTGTCTTCAAATGCTCCAAAAGCTGTTGACTCTACAAAGAAACAGAACAATTCCCAACAAGGTCAGAGTAAATCTAGCAGTGTTTATAGTACTTTACGCCCACTACAGTGCATGGGATTATCTAAATGAAGTTGGCAGGGTACTCACTAGCTGAGAGGCATGCTTAATCCTCTCAACAATCCCATCATGCCCAAGGTACTGAAGGGACAGCCAGAGAGGCAAAGCCCGAAGCTTCTCCACCGGTTGGCTGGATGTCAGACCTGCTGTGAGCGACTGCCCCCAATCGGCAGGGAGGACAAGACAAACAGCATGAGGTATTTGCACATTGTATGGTCACAACTCTGGATTACATTCCTATATGATGTGCTGTATAATGCTGATTGGTACTTATTTTAACGGTCCAACTTACCAGGGCCGGATCCTCATGTCTGTAAAGAGTGACAGCGGGCACAGCGGGCAGGCCCAGCCACGGGCCTGGAGTCAAAGTCATACTATCGCACTTAGTGGCCGCCTTGATAGTTAGAGGGAGAAAATTAGAGCACATTCTTGACAACAGGAAGAAAATGCAGGGATTTGATTGCTAAAAAACCCACAACATACCGTGACAGTGGAGGAGATCTGACCAAGAGCAAGCGTTGCCAAATTAACCCTGAAAAGAATGCCACAGAAAGTCAATTTAAACAATATCTGTTCAAAATATGTTAATCAACTCTGTTTATTCAAACACACACACACATTAAATACATTTATGCACTCACCAAAAGGATTAGGAACACCTGTTCAATTTCTCATTATTGCAATTATCTAATCAACCAATTATATGGCAGTTGCTTCAATGTATTTAGGGGTGTGGTTCTGGTCAAGATAATCTCCTGAACTCCAAACTGAATGCCAGAATGGGCATAGGTAATAGGTGATTTAAGTAATTTTGAGCGTGGCATGGTTGTTGGTGCCAGACGGGCCGGTCTGAGTATTTCACAATCTGCTCAGTTACTGGGATTTTCACACACAACCATTTCTAGGGTTTACAAAGAACGGTGTGAAAAGGGAAAACATCCAGTATGCGTCAGTCCTGTGGGTGAAAATGCCTTGTTGATGCTAGAGGTCAGAGGAGAATGGGCCGACTGATTCAAGCTGAGAGAAGAGCAACTTTAAAATAACCACTCGTTACTACCGAGGTATGCAGCAAAGCATTTGTGAAGCCACAACACGCACAACCTTGAGGTGGATGGGCTACAACAGCAGAAGACCCCACCAGGTACCACTCATCACCACTACAAATAGGAAAAAGAGGCTACAATTTGCAAGAGCTCACCAAAATTGGACAGTCAAAGACTGGAAAAATTTTGCCTTGTCTGATGAGTCTCGATTTCTTTTGAGGCATTCAGATGGTAGAGTCAGAATTTGGCGTAAACAGAATGAGAACATGGATCCATCATGCCTTGTTACCACTGTGCAGGCTGGTGGTGGTGGTGTAATGGTGTGGGGGATGTTTTCTTGGCACACTTTAGGCCCCTTAGTGCCAATTGGGCATCGTTTAAATGCCACGGCCTACCTGAGCATTGTTTCTTTTGACCATGTCCATCCCTTTATGGCCACCATGTACCCATCCTCTGATGGCTACTTCCAGCAGGACAATGCACCATGTCACAAAGCTCGCTTCATTTCAAATTGGTTTCTAACATTCAAATTGGTTTTTAACATTGTTAAATCAATGCCACGTAGAATTAATGCAGTTCTGAAGGAGAAAGGGGGGTCAAACACAGTATTAGTATGGTGTTCCTAATAATCCTTTAGGGGAGTGTATATTCACATACACATATATTTAAAACCTATAACCAGTTGATACCAACCCCTCCACATGAAGCCACATGTTGTACTGAACGCAGAGCTCTTTCAGGCGACTGAGTTTGTCTGTGTGACCTGCACCTGGCGTTCCTGAGAGATTAACTAAATATTAATAATCCACTGTAAAATTGACTATCAACATATGCATGCAAAAAACTAAGTTGCTTGAATAAATAAGGTCCTAGCAAACCGACCAGCATTCGCTATCAACAGCAGTGGAACTTTCCCTGATTCGCGATCATCTTTGATGAGCTTGTCAAGCAATGCAACATCCTTTAAAAAGAAAATTTAGTGAAAAACACACCATTTTAGCTCATCTTGAATTCATTTGATCAACACGGTCTCATTACTTTTGTGGAAAAAAATAGTTTCAATTCCAATTATCTTTCTATTTAATGTGTTAATGTTAGTGTATGTCTGCACTGTTTTGCATATAGACTGATGCAAATTCCTTGTTTATCTTTTACTTGGTTTAATTTGTTCTTAAATGTACACTATCGTTCAAAAGTTTGGGGATCAGTGAGATTTTTTTTTTAAAGAAATACTTTTTCAAGGATACATTACGCTGATTAAAGGTGACAGTAAAGAGATTTATAGAGTTACTTTACTTTTGAACTTTCTATAAATCAAAGAATCCTGATCAAATGCATTATGACTTGACTTCCATATAAATATTAATCAGCACAACTGTTTTCAACAGTGATATTAATGATAAACGTTTCTTGCGCCGCAAATCATCATATTAGAATGATTTCGGAAGGATCACGTGACACTAAAGACTGAAATAATGAAAATTCCGCTTTTTGGTCGCTGGAATAAATTACATTTTAAAATATAAATCAAATATTTTACTGTTTTTAGTGTATTTTGAGCATATAAGATTTCTTTCAAAGAAACATTTCGAAAAATCTTACCAAACCAAAACTTTTGAAAGCTAGTGCACTCCCTTCAGTATTCACCAAAAGACAAATTCTTACCATTTGATGCAAGGAGCCAAACATGGTGTTACAGGGCACAATACAAAGACTTGACAAAGGCAGTCCTAGCTGAAAAGAAAAAAACAAAAAAAGTTTTCTAAATCAAAGCACATAGCATCCATCACTATGCAAATGCACACACACATTTTTTAATGTAGTGTGGTTGGTGGTAATGTGAAACATTTCAGATCATGCAGCATAGACAAGTGGAGGTGACATTGTACCTGACTGCAGAGATATTGTCCCAGGCCAGGTCTACATGCAGCACTTTGGTAAATCACAGGATGTTTGGAGCTCAGCACTGTAAAGCCCTCTGTAGCGTACTCCTCATAATGAGTATTAATAACTAGCCGACACACCTTCAGCAGCCCCTCACGATCATCTTCATGGTAATATGCCGAGCCATTTTCATATCTATGAAAAATAATTAATTCCAATATTTTAAAGGTGTCATCAAATGCCTATTTTCCCCAAGTTGGTATGATTCTTTAGGGTCTTCATGTAAAGTTTGTAACATACTTGTGTAAAACAACACCCTTTTTACCTCCTCAAAGACAGCTCTCTTCACAGTGACCCGTTTCGGTGCATGCCTCTTTAAATGATAATGAGCAACTGCTCACCACCCCTCTCTTCCATGGTGTATACAAATGGCTGAGGGCGGAAATACGCTAATACGGAACGGTTCATCAGTGGATGTGGGCAGAGCATGAGCAATGTGACATCATATTGCATCCAATATGACGGCATATTGAATTTTGCATCCGATGACCCTTTTAATATTTACCAAATCCCAAGATGAATTTGCATTTTCATACTGTACATCACAATGTTTTCATGCCTGAATTCCCTAGTAGCAGTTTTTAGTGTTTTATTTTTTATTTATTTAGATGAAACAAGATTTTTCATTTAATTTATTCTAAATTGGAAAAATGTCTCTCGCTCTTGGTCTCTCGAAAAAGATCCACTCTCACTCTTAAAGAAATCCAACTTCATCTGACATGTCATCAATTTTAGGTTGCACCTCATATTTTGTTGGTAGAGAATCTCTTTTTAACATTTCAAATATCATTTATTGGTCATTACAAAATATAATGAGGGTGAGTAATTAATTAATTTAATTATTAATGACAGAATTTTATTTTTAATATCTGGGTGAACTACACCTTAAAGTCACTGTTATAATAAAAAGCTTGATCTTTTGCCCCCTAGGTTTTTTTAAGTGAAAGACAGCCTAAACAATTTGCTAAGATGAACCAAAGATGGATTTATTAATCCTCTTCAACACAAATCTCTATACATCACTTAATTTTGTCTGTATGACAAGAAGAAAATCCACCTGAATCCACATGAGATTACCGAGATAACTTGAGCGTACCTGAAAAGCCTGCAGAGCCAGAGAGTGGTGTCTGACAGGATGCGGGTGGTCAGCTTTCTCAATCTTTCTCGTTCCAGGACAGAGATATATGCAGCCAGACTGTGTCCTAATAGAGCCATGTGTCCCTGCTCTCCGACATATTGCATCCTGCTAAACAGACATTTATAGTTTTATCACACCACATGGTCACAAAGGGGTTTACATATGCTCTCGGTCAACTTGTAGACCAACCCTAAGACTAATTCAGACTTGGTTAATGAGTAAAAAAAAGCCTTTGAATAAAATTACTCTAAGAGACTATTCTGCCTTGTCTTTTATTTAAAATTTGTCTGTAGAAAGTCTTTAAGAGTATTTTATGTTTTGAAGAAGGCTTATGTCTCACAAATGCTGCATTTATTTTATCCAAAATACTGTAAAACAGTGATATTGTAAAATAGCACTACAATTTAAAAGAACAGTTTTCCATTTTAATACATATTAAGGTATACTTTATTCCTGTGATGTCAAAGCTGAATTTTCAGTAACATAAATCTTTTGTAACATTATAAATGTCTTTACTGTCAATTTTGAAAAATTGAATGCATCCTTGCTGAACAAAAGTATTTATTAATTTTCATCAATGTTGAGCATAGTGTAAGCATTAGTTTAAGAACAACTGAGCAAATATACATCTACCTGATCCCACACTTTTGAACAGTAGTGTATAAACTGAAAACTTCTGTTGTCAAAAACACATTCAAAATTCCTAAGGAATTTGTTTCTTGGTTTTAGGTCTACAAACCAAACAGCTCCATAATGCTGTGACCTACCGATGACCCTGCTGGTCATCATCCCCATGCATCAGGTTCTGGACTAGCTGGAGTACGCTAACAACATCCTGTCCACTGTCGGAAATGTATGGAAAAAGAAAGAAGAAAAGAAAGACTTTGAAATGTTTTGAAAATATATCAGATATGACTTGAAACCCCATGAAATGCCTTATAAATACAGAGCAAGACAAGAAACATTATAAATGTAAAATGTGATTTACAGTATTATCGAGTCTCACTCACTCTCCTTGTAAGGGTCCAGGAATGTCTTTCCAACTCAACTTTCTTCTTTCTTTAATCTGATCAGATTCCCTGAATAAATCCACACAACATTATGGTTATATAACGATACTTGGTATATGTAAAACAAAACCCTGGACATAGTGTCAACATGTCATAAGAAGGTTATTAGCATAACAGCTATGTGAATTTAATCACAACAATTACTGAAAATGTTGTAATGTAAAAAGTCTTACAATTTTCCACTTTCTAAAATCTTTATGGCACCAGAAAGATGGTTCCCCATCTCAGCAAGTGTAGGGTCCATCATCTACAATTACACAGTAGAATGCATATGGTTACTTCCTTGTGAAGGACATTGCATTGAAAAACTGGATGACTTGCTAACTTGATAACAATGGCTGTATATCACATTTCTTGTCACATCAAATAGAATTATTACTCCTCATGCTTTAGCAAAACTCATATTTCACCAGTAGGGCATTTTCACCGCCTGTGATAAAAAAAGAAAACATTCACGCCTCTGTCCATTTGTGATAATTGGGCGTTTTTAACATTACAATACATTTAAACACTGACTAAATAACAAAAATACTATTAGTAGACTTGGTAAATGCTTTTTTTGTGTGTGAATTCTGCTAACTTGTATAAAATTAGTCTGATTACTCTCTTAATTCTAGCTTTCTCTGTTCTACATGTGTAATTCCTGATATACAGGATATGAAAACCTGTCGGATGACAAGGCTCATTCCATTACACGGGCACTCATCTAGTAAGATAATGTCATGCCTATCCTCGTGCGCATCCTGTTCTAACACAACGCATCAATAGGCTACACAACTGATTTGTGACTGTTTCAGTTTTAGAGATACTTTGCAAACGAAAGTGGTTTGCAGACCACCATTTTTGTATTTTGCTGACCACCATCTATTAAAGCCTAAATTTCATTTTCACATTACAAGAAAAGGGACGGTAGGCTATCACTAGACGGTGAGCTTTATGCACAAACGTTACTCAATTGAGGCTTTAAATGAATCCAGTAGCATCATTTTTACTGTGGCAATGATAGAGAATAAGCTTCCTGCACTTTAATCAAATGAGCGAGTCCTTCAGGGAATGATATAATTACGCACTGTTCTACATTACCTTCACGGGCGGTTTATCCATGCAATGTTGAAAACCCAGTCGCATGGACTAGTCCCTGTGCGTTGTCACTTGCTGTGTATTTTAGGGAAGCAAAACCAGAAAGCACAAGAATCCACTTCGGGTACCCTTTCTCTTTGGTTATTTGTATAGTCAATTGAATTGTGCTACTTCCTGGTGTCATGCCGCTCCACGCTGGCAGCGCTGACGTAGCCTAAACATACGCCCCCTAACAGTGTCCGTGACTCGTGAGCTCCTTGGTTTACCCCTTACCCCCAACGCAAAGACATGTAATGATGCAGTACAGTAGTGTGTGGACTGTCTCCGACGCAATTCGGTTCTTTCGAATAGAAAATATTCGAAAAACCTGATTCAGTTTTTCTTTTACGTCATGACGTGACCTCTGACATCACGCCGTGGAAATCACATGCTTTTATATAGGCTACGTTTAAATAATTAAATACATTTAACGTGACCAAATTTATTTTGTTGTAGCCATGATTGAGCTCATAAAAATATAGTAATGCAAAACCAAAATATAATTTGCATTCAAATTAATTTACATCTTCTTGGTTGAAAGGTGTTTGCAAATTGTTTTATTAATACTTACCAAAACCAAACCAGTGTTAAGAAAAGCATTTACAGGATTTATTAAATACTATTACCAAAAATAAATTTGTGTCTAGATAAAACTGTTGTAAAAATATTTCCAATTATTTTTATTTGTAAAATTGATGTTATTTGGGTTTTTAATATCCCATTTTTCATGACGAAAAGTTGATGTTCGGAGCAGGCGGTTCTCTTCTTTGATTCATTCAGACTGCAGCATCCAAATATACTCTCCTGTGTCTTGAGTAGACTTATTTTAAATAAATATTAACTTCACAACTGCTATTATTGCCAAAGGTATTGGGACAACCCAACACCAAATAGGTCGCTCATGAGCGCAGTGATTTCAACCGTTCATGAATAGAACCGAACCCACGGTCAACTGTTAGTGGTATTATAACAACGTGGAAGCAATTGAGAACAACATCAACTCAGCCACAAAGTGGTAGGCCACATAAAATCACAAGAGTGGGGGTCAGTGCATCCTGAATCAGCACTGAATAGCTGCAGACCTCCAAACTTCATATGGCCTTCAGATTAGCTCCAGAACAGTATGTAGAGAGCTTCATGGAATGGGTTTCAATGACTGAGCAGCTGCATCCAAGCCTTACATCACCAAGTGCATTGCAAAGTGTCGGATACAGTGGTGTAAAGCACTCAGCCACTGGACTCTAGACTAGTGGAGAAGTGTTCTCTGGAGTGACAAATCACACTTGTCTGGCAATCCGATGGAAGAGTCTGGGTTTGGCGGTTGCCAGGAGAACTGGACTTGCCTGACTGCATTGTGCAAAGTGTAAAGTTTGGCAAGGTCAAAGCAAGGTCCTTAAAGACATTGGTGAGCAAGTTTGGTCTGTGGAGGAACATAACTGGCCTGCACAGATTCCTGACCTCAACCTGACCTCCTGACCTCACACAGGTAAAGTAATCAACAGGTTTATTTGCAGAAGTATGTGATCACAACAATGGAAGCAGGTGAGCAACTGATATTTATAGTGTTCTGGATCGATATCTGGATGAGTAATGGTCATATCTGTAGCAGGTTCTGAAATGGAGTTTTAGGCAGATGATTGAAGATGGATGAAGGAAGCATATGACGGAAGACAAATCGTTTTGGTAGGTATCATGCAGGTAAGTGTTCTTTGAGGGAACAACGAAACCAGACAATGGTATGCAGGAGAAGTGTCTCTTAAGTCTGAGTCTGCAGTTCGGGTGGCCAGGGCGGATCGGCCATCGTGGCCTTTCCATGGGACTTTTGGCCACTCTAGCCAGGGACCCAGGGGACAGGTCTTGGAACAGGAATAGGTTGAGGAACAGAAACAGGAGCAGGGACAGGTCTAGGAACATGTCTTGGGACAAGCTCTGACATGGCAGCAGCAATGCTGGCTGAGGGTTCAGGCAGTGTGGTGGTGGCAGCCATCGTAGCTGAGGGTTCAGGCGGCAAGGCGGTGGCCATCTTTGCCGAGAACCCAGATGGTGAGGCAGCGGCCGTCTTTGCCAAGGGATCGCGAGGAGTGACAATAATATTCTCTGGGGCTTCTCTCATAAGAACAGGCTCAGGCGTGGCAGTGACCTCGACAGGACGATACTCTGGAAGGGTGGCTGTCTCGACAGCCGCGAGACACTTGAGCTGGCTTGTGGGCTGAAGCGGACCAGCGGCAAATTTTCAGGCGCTGTGGAGGCCATCTTGAAAGTATGTACTCTTTTTGTGCAAGTACATACTTTTGAGTGTGTAGCAAAAGAGTAGGCAAGCTTTGGGACATAACTATCACGTCATCTTTAACGGACAGCTCTGCGTGCATGCGTGCTGCGTGCATCCTGTCACCGTAAACTGCCCTGTCAATCATCTTGTCACAGTTAAAATCATCCGTTCTATCTAATTTGATTTCCTACCATTACAGAGCACGTTCATCTGCCAGTCATGGGTCTTTCATGAAGAGACTCTCCTCATGTTTGCAATTTTAATATAATGATGCATTTAAAAAGTAATGGCTAAACGTATCGTCACTTCACATCTTAAGTTCACAATGCTGCTGCTGCATATGCAATATAATGTGGACAACATTGAATAAATTAATTTTCGTCAGGTTAGATACTAATAATTAATCACTCAAAGCTCTTTGTCTAAACCTCTCTACACAGCCGCTGGACTGTAGTTTTTTAACACTTTTTACTCGTGTTTGTAGTTCTAACCGAATCCTCGTCCACCGCGCAAAGGGTTGTGGGCAATATCAGCCGTTAGAGTGTGCATCGATCTACACTTCAGATTCTGACAGGAAATAGTAGACCATCCGGGTATCTTTGAAACACTCATTTCAACATACTACGATTTGGGACGTACTAATTCTATTTTCGAATACTCTTTAGGACGGATAGTATGCGAATTGGGACGCAGGCATGACATGAAGGTGCTGATGTAATTAGGTGATGGTTGCTGGTGTGCAGGTGGGAAACATGAGGGATGCTAGGAAGAGTAGTGCAATAGAGGTGACAGAGCTGGTGTGGTGACTGGATATGTGACAGATAGAACACATTTGAGATGAATTAGAGCAGAAACTGCGAGGCAGGCCTTCTCGTCCAATGTATGTGCCTGACCTCACAAATGCGCTTCTCGGAGAATGGTCAAAAAGTCCCATAAACACACTCCTAAATCTTGTGGAAAGCCTTCCCAGAAGAGTTGAAGCTGTTAAAGACGCAAATGGTGGACCAACTCCATATTAAACCCTACAGACTAAGAATGGGATGTCAGTAAAGTTAATGTGCATGTAAAGGCAGACATCCCAAAACTTTTGGCAATAGTGTATGTTCTACGCTCACCTAAAGGATTATTAGGAACACCATACTAATACTGTGTTTGACCCCCCTTTTGCCGTCAGAACTGCCTTAACTCTACGTAGCAGTTGATTCAACAAGGTGCTGAAAGCATTCTTTAGAAATTTTGGCCCATATTGATTGGATAGCATCTTGCAGTTGATGGAGATTTGTGGGATGCACACCCAGGGCACGAAGCTCCCGTTCCACCACATCCCAAAGATGCTCTATGGGCTAAATGCACGCATAAGTTCCGCATTTGACGCAAGGATGCTCAACAGTTTCCAGTTAAGGACATTAAAGCGGGGGAAAACCGAGGAAAATGGGGCAGAGTCTTCAAAATTTACTGTCCTCCCGTCCTTGAAACGAAACATACTTTTAGATGTAATTTTATATATAGTTACGTTTATTTAATATAATTTTATAAATAAGCATAAACACAACGGGGGGTGTTTGTTTTATCTGTTTTTGTGACTACCGTTTCTTTAGTATAACCATGGAGTGTAAAATTCAATATAAATTCTCGGCATTGCATTGGACTCTACGATCGGCGGAAGTTGTCGAGCATCCTTAAACATTCACCGGAAATACCGCCGTGCATAGAGCCCATTGGGTTGAGATCTGGTGACTGTGGGGGCCATTTTAGTATAGTGAACTCATTGTCATGTTCAAGAAACCAATTTGAAATGATTCGAGCTTTGTGACATGGTGCATTATCCTGCTGGAAGTAGCCATCAGAGGATGGGTACAAGCAACTGCCATGTGATGGGTTGATAAGATATTTGCATTAATGAGAAATTTAACAGGTGTTCCTAATAATCCTTTGGGTGAGTGTAGTATGAATGTGTGTGGTATGAATGTAATCCAGATGTAGCCTATACTATATTCGCCATGTTGTCATTATGTGGCCTATGCCAGCGTCAGTACGACACTTCACTCCCATTCATACATCCTCTTCCATGGCAACATGGGATAGTAAAGTGCCAATCGTATGCACAATATAAAAGATATAAAAGATGTGTGCACACACTTCAAAATCTACTATATTGTAGGGAAGTATGCGATTTTGACTGCAGCCATTTTTGTAAACGCTTCAGGTGATTCATTAAAAAGATCCCACATCTAACCATCTGTTCAAGAATCAGACACATTGCTAAAACACACTGGGATGTGCTTAGAACCTGAGACATTGAGCAAATATTTAAAAATAAGCAATGTTTTGGGAGGCTTCTCCATATTAAGTGCATATGAAGTTATAGCCTATAAATGAGATCTCAATACCAAAAAAAAAAAAAAAAAAAAAAAAAAAAAAAAACATTTTGGGTGTCAAGCATTAAAAGTCTCAGTGAACGTTGATAGCTCGAAGATCTGGTAACTGGTCTTACTAGGTGAGTTACGGTAGTCGATCTTTATCAGCTATATGCAAATCAGATCAAAGCGCGCCACCGCTGAACACGCGGGAGCGCGCGGGCAGATTAACGCAGGATTTGAGCACCTAAGTACGGGAAACTGCTGATCACCGTATGAACGTGCGCTGGAACCTTTTCATTTAATTGCTAAATGGATCAATGAATCGCAATTCTTGTTTTTGCCTGGCTGTCCTTTTAAAGTAAAAAGAAGATGGACTGAAGCAAAACGTATAACCTACTCGATTGATCTGTGTTTTATTTGGCAGTGCTTTAATGATTTTCTAATGTTTCTGAAAGATGTTTGCCAAGAGTCACAATTATGAGCTGTCAAACTATTAATCATAATAATAGTGTCTGTGCCTTTTAAATGTTAAACATAACTGACTAGAAACTAAGGGGATCAATTGAACAGCTTTCTAACTTGTACCTACTAAGCAAAAGGTCATTTTATGAGCTTAGCTGCGGCCGTCTGTCAATGTCAGCACCGTTTTGTTTCGTGCCCTTCGACATCATTTAAAAAGGTTACAAAATAGCTACATTGTCGTTTTGCTGATCATGAGAAAATCGTTTTTCAAACGAGCAAAGGTATTGCCTTGGCTCAGTAATGTGACTTTGTACGGATGCTTGTTCGCTGGAGGGGATTTTGTCCATCAGTGCATCGCGCAGAGAGATGAAATGGACTGGAAACACACGAGAAACGTGGCGATTGTGGCTCTGAGTTTCCACGGTAACTTCAATTACTTCTGGCTACGAGTCTTAGAACATCGTTTCCCGGGAAGATCGGCTGGTATGATTTTCCGCAAACTGCTTTTGGACCAAACTTTTGCTTCACCTTTGGCGACCAGTGTCTTCTACACAGGTAAATATACCACATTTACATATATAGCCTACATACACATATATTGCACGTGTTTATTTGTTCTATTTCACTCAGTTCTTTGTCTTTACAGGTGTGAGTTTCTTGGAGGGTAAAGAGGACATATATGCTGACTGGCGAGAAAAGTTTTTTAATACATACAAGGTAGGTCACTAAGTCATCTTTACCAGCTAGCCCATCATCATCAACAACCGTATGGACTTTTATAAATTGTCTCAAAGACAATTCATTGATGTCTAAATCAAATATGTCCAGTTGAATATTGCCTAGTTGATTTTCTCTTTCTTTCTTGTCAAGGTAAACATGCATTATGTATGTGTGTGTCATTTCTTGGGTTTGTCTTCAAAAGGGTGGTAAAGTTAAAATGTCAATGTTCTAAATTTAGGTTACTGAGAATGATATAACTTTTTTGGCAAATACTCTAAATGTGTTTTTTTTTTTTCACATTTCAGACTGGACTGATGTACTGGCCATTCATGCAGGTATAAGAGCTATATTATGTCACCACAAACCATTTATACACAGATAACTGTTCCATACTTCTAAATATAAATATTATATTTAATATCATAAATAAATATCCTTTGCATTGTCAATATTCTTGAAAGTTATTATAATAATCTGTATTTTCTTACAGTTTTTGAATTTTGTTCTGATGCCTCTTTATCTGAGGACAGCGTTTATGGGCTGTTCAGCATTTCTGTGGGCCACGTTCTTATGTGTCTCACGACAGAGTGGGGATGGGACAGCAGCAGTGGCCTTAGCTTGGGTCATGGCCCCCAAAAAACGGCTTCTATCTCGCAGTAACGACGAGGAGAAGTAGAAATACAGTGGCGCACATGAACAACTTTGTGCCTTTGCGGATGGACATTTCTGTCCCACAATGGTACTGTATTGAGGCTGTTTATTAATCTTGTCACTTATGATCTTATTAAAAGTGATATTAAATTAACTTATAATTAACGTGTGCACAGATTTCATTTATATTTATGCAGGAAAAAAAAACATTTTATTTTTTATGTTTAATGTGATTCAATTTGTTTACAGAAGGAAAATGAATTGTGTCTTTATGAATTTCACTGTATGGTGTTGCTGGGTGTTTTAGAGGTGTGCCCTGATTCAGGTCTGACATTAGGCCATTTAACACAAGTACCTTATTCATTTATTGAAATATTTAAAAATGGACATACTATGCAGTGTTTCGTCCAAACATGATTATTTTTCTAAAGAGAAACTCATAAGGTTTACATAACATGCATATATACTCATAAGGGATACAGTAATCAAAAGATTTGTATCTTATTAATATATATACATATATATTATAAATATATATATATATATTGTGATTACATATTGCTTTGTGCCGTTTATGAAATGTATTTTAGTGAATTCAGTGGTTAGATTGTTTGTAGATGAGTTGTAAAGTTTCTGTTTTTATTGAAGTGTATGTGAGAGGTGAGGTGTTTAACCGTGCAGAATTGTAAAACGAGACAGCTTAATGTAGGTTTTATGAGATATTGAGGGTGATGCTGGGTAACAGATAAACAGCTTTTCCGGTACTGATTGTCTGTGCTGGATTAGGCAGGATCACATGCTTGCTAATCTTAGAAGGGCAAAAATGTCTGCTGTGTGCTTTCTTTCTGCTATATATGACCTCTGATAACAGTAGACAAAAATTGTGCACATGTAGCATATTAGTTTCAAAAATGCTTTTTTATTTTGGCTTTGAAATGTGTGATATTTTAGACAATTTAAGAAGGATGCTGCCATATATCAAATACTTTTAGTAATTTCTTGCATGCAATTTGCATGAAATGCACATTTGGTTGCAACATACATGATTTTGTGCATCATGGGCACAAATTGTTGGGGGTAACAAATTACAAGTATTGTGAGTTAAGTAATCAGATTACTTTTTTCAAGTAACTAGTAAAGTAACTTTTTCAAACAAGTAACGCAAGTTACTTTGTTTTCCCATTTATTGACTGATACCTGTACAGAAATTGGGAGTAAAGGTACTGTTGTATGAACATGAAGGTTATTGTAGATCTAGACTAAATGTGAGCATTGATTCATCTCACTTGCACACAAAAAGATTCAGTATTCCTCAAAATGAATAAAAACGGTGTAATGCAAACTCGTTAAGTTGTTATAATTAGTTAAATGTGAAATTGCACAAATATACTTAATCTCTTAATATTAAGTATATTAAGAAATAAAATACTTAATATTTAATCTCACTTTATTAACCAATGTCTTTGCTGCTGACCTTTGATGATCAAATTCAAACATGCACAGTAAAAAAAAAACATTGGGTTATTTTTTGAACCCAACTGTTGGGTTACACACATTGGGTCACTTATTTTGTAAAAATTGTTTTGGCTGTGTAGTCTAAGTGCATATGAAATTAGGTTCACACGCATGTAGATGAACACCCTTTCTGACATACATCATTGCCATACCTCACAAATGGAAAAATGGTGTGTCCAACATTATGCTGAAAAGAAGTGCAGCTTAAAAGACATTCAGCCTGTAAGTAAAAACAACACTATCAAATTAGCTTTGATAAATTACACTGCTCTGCGGCTCATATGCATCAATCAATGTCTTATTTTAATCAGTGATTATGCTTGTTAATGGGGTAATTCTGTCATTAATTACTCACTCTCTCGTTCCAAGCCTGTAAGACATTCATTCATCTTCAGAACACAAAGGAAGATCTTTTAGAGTAAATCGAGAGCTTTCTGTCACTTCATTGACAGTCTATGCACTTTCAAGGCCGAGAAAGTAAAGACATCATAAAAGTAATCAATGTGACTCATGCATGGTTTAACCTCAGTTATATGAACTGACACCAGTGATTTGTGTAAAAAACAAAACATAATTGTTGTGTTCATGCAACAAACGTCTGCTCTTGCATCAACACAACACGCATGCATTGAGGGGCTCTGGTGAATATGCGTTCGAGATTAATATGTTGTAAATAAGGTGATTATGGTTAAGGGATAGAATGTCGCTTCATAGCATTTAGGTTGAACCATGGAGTAACATTAGGTTAGAATACCTTAATTATGTCTGGAGGGACAGAAAGTGAAGATGACTGAAAATCTTATGGGTTTGGAACAACATGAAGGAGAGTGATTAATGACAGAATTAAACCATTTTGGGAAAACTACCATTAACAAGCATAATCACTGAAGAAAATAAGAAATTGCATATGAGCCGCAAGGCAGTGTATTTTATCCAAGCTAATTTGATAGTGTTGTTTTTACTTACAGGCTGAATGTCTTTTAAACTGCGCTTCTTTGCAGCATATGTTGGACACACCATTTTTCCATTTGTGAGGTATGGCGATGATGGAAGGATGTCAGAAAGGGTATTAAAGGAGTAGTTCACTTAAAAAAAACTTTTGCTGATAATTTACTCGCCTCCATGACATCCAAGATGTCCACGCCTTTCTTTCTTCAGTCGAAAAGAAATTAAGGTTTTTGATGAAAACATTCCAGGATTTTCTCCATTTAATGGACTTCAATGGGAACCAAACGGTTCAAGGTCAAAATGAGAGTTTCAGTGCAGCTTCAAAGGGCTTTAAATGACACCAGACGATGTATAAGGGTCTTATCAAGGACCCTTCAAGTTATGAAAAAAGATTTGTTCATTTTGATGAATGAGTTTGAACAGGAGAGTAACGAACACTCATCACAGAACAGAGCAAGACGAGCATTTGTGCTTATAAAACTTGAACTTTTTTAATTTATTTTTTAAATGACAGATCGTTTCGCTAGATTAGACCCTTATTCATTGTCTGGTGTCGTTTAAAGCCCTTTGAAGCTGCACTGAAACTCTCATTTGGACCTTAAACCGTTTGGTTCCCATTGAAGTCCATCAATCAAGCAAGCCCAGTCCAGATGAGAAAAAGTAACACAAAGTAATAAAAGTGCACAAAAAAAAAAAAACTCGCATAAAACTTTTTGCATAAAAAGTAGGCAAACTAGTTTCTTTTTTAGGGTAAGCAACTTTCTTCACTGCCCAGGACTTTGAAAGGATATTTTATTTTAAAATAAGGATTACAGTTTTTTTTTTTTTTTCTAAAAGTCTTAAATCTGTTTAAGTTTCTAAACATTTAAATTTCCATGATTCTTAATGTTTCTGCATTTTTAATCATTTATTTTAAGAGTTGATCATGCTTTTTGAAAAGCAATTGGTATAGCCAATATAACTATAAAAAATAAACGAATGAATAAACACAAATATTAAACAAATTAAAGAGATTAAACCTTTTACCATTTAAATGGCAGAAAGATTCTGAAACTTTTCACATATATTTTTATTATTTTAAAATAATTTATAATAATAACGTCATTTACATTTTTTATTATCAAATATAATCATATTAGTATATAAAATGTAATCATAATTATAAATGGTAAATAGGCCTATATAACAACAATTTGACTGAAAATCTGGTATCTTTAAAAACACCACTGCCATCCAAAAAAAGATCAGAGAAGGATTCAGAATCAGATACCTTACTTGAAAGTGTTTCCATGTAGCATATCTGAAGACATTCGTCTATAGAGGAGTGTTGTGTCGTACACTCGGGGCAGCATCGGGCTCGTGTCTAGGTGAGTCTGTGTCTATGTAGTTAAGACGCACCCACCGCTCTATGCCACTCCCTTCCAGGTGAAGTGGTAAAAGAGAGTTCCTTCCTTCGCGCTGCTTACCTATGAAACAAACGAAAACACTTTAAACCCCTTCCAAACGCTTAATTTAGACGGTTGTTGGGCAATTCAACAGCCCCAAACGACCGAAATAACTGTAAAAACAGCTTGGAGATGGAGGCAGCGCCGGGCGGTCTCGGGCGCTGCTCGTGCGCGTTCGGGCTCGCGGTGGCTTTCGACGTATTTGGACTCATCATTTTATTGCTTGGCGTGTTTGGAGATTTGTTTTTCTATGACTTTTTGATATATGCAGGCGCCATCATCATTTTCCTGAGTCTCATCTGGTGGGTTTTCTGGTACACGGGTAATATTGAGGTGCCCCCCGAGGAGCTGGAGGATGATGTGGGTCTGCTGAAGAAGGGCAGAGGTTTGGCAGGGGTTGTCAGGAGGTTCTCCAGTCGCCTCTCGAGCGGAATCAGAAGCTCTTTCAGGAGAAATGAGGGAGCCCGAGGTCAAGGAGCAGCTCCCCGTCAAGCAAAGCTCAGAAGAGAAGGCGGTCAAGTACCAGTGGCTTTTGCAATGACCTCTCCGGATAATGTGAGCACTGTGTCTGCGGCAGTGACAGAAACACAAGTCATATGAACCATCATGAATAGCTACAGGTTAATACACTTTAATTACGTTTGGTTGTCTGCATTTTATCAATAATAGACCAACTTCACCAGTTTAACAATTCTTGGTTGAAATTAATTGTTTTAAGCTACTCACTGTGTTTGTTAATGTGTCATCACTTATTGTTGATTTAATATTTGGCATGGAAATTAGACATGATGGCATAGAAAACATGCTAAAGAAATGACATTGAGGAAGTATTTGCATCATAAGGGCAGATGTTAAACATTAACCATGAAACCAGCAATGGCTCAGTTCAAGTGGAGAGCTGCAATGAAAATATGATAGATTTATCTTCATATTAAAAATGTTATTCATATTCATTCAGCACGATATGGAGACTTATTTATTTGAGTGTGACTGCACAATGTTGTAAAGAACATGAAGGACAATAAAATAATATATGAATTAAGTAGCAAAACTAAGTATGATACATTTATAAAAACACAAAAAACGCATTAAGGGGGTTCAACAAGGATAAAAATTTTGGTAGACTAAAACACTAAGACACTTTTAGAGCGAGAGAGAGACTTGAACATTTTCTTTTTTTTTTTAACAGGTTACAGAAGAGGATATTCGACCATATGGCATTGAAGCAGAGTTTGGTTTTTCTCTCCTGTTGAAACATTCATTTTTTTCACTTTGGTGTTTTCATCAAAAATGTTTACAATTGAATGGCATTTTGTATTATTTGTTGATTTGATTGATTTTTATGTTTTGTACGAGATTATGCACAGACAAAAACTGGCTGAATGACTAAATACAATTGTGTATTTTCCTACATTTAATTGTATATTTTATATCTGGTTTCAACCAACATATGACTGAAACCCAGACCTTTTACTCTCCTGGTTTTATTGAATCTCATACATCTGTACTGTATACAACCTTTGGACAGTGAGAAGTGTTATTAGGTTTGCTTCCTCTTATCTTTGTTTGCTCATACCCAATTTAGAATCAACGGTGTAAATGAAGCAGATGGGTGGAGAACAATTTTATCGTTAACTCAATGACAGTCCTCTCTTTTTCACAACAGTTTACTAGATATTTACGTCCAGCTTTCAGGTGAATTTACATCTTTATTTCTCAATCTGACAATTATGTTTATTGAGAAAGGTGATTTCTTCCTAAACTTTGTTATATTTCTTCCTAAACTTTTAACAATTTTAAGATATGCCATTGCAAGTTGTTTTCAGTTAAAACAGCTCAAAGTCTGGCACTAACTTAAGCCTATCTGTGAAACCAGTGGTTAATATTGAAATGGGGTGAATCTTCCAAAAAGGTGGTCACATGGTCTGGTCATATTTCACATTAAAATAAAAAAATAATAAATTACATTTTGTAGCTTTTAAGTGTGACAGTTTTCAAATCACATATGTGCCAGGGGTCTTCGGTAGATTATTGTTAGATCTCACACAAAAATTTAAAAAAAAAACACTATTAAGGGATATTTCACCCCTAAATTAAAATTATGTCATTATTTACTCACTTTCATATCGTTTCAAACCTTTCTTTGACTTTCTTTCTTCTGTGGAACAAGTTGAATGTCTCAGTTGGCTAATTTGTTTAAATTATTTTATACCGGCCTATGTATATTTTTTTTTCATACAATGGAAGTAAATGATAATACGATTACACGTTATAATATGAAAGGCAAAAAATGCGTATACTTCCAGCTAATGAGGATACAGAGGAAGCATTTATTGAGTAATTACACTTCAAACCACTAGGCGGCAGAACTTTCATTTCCAGAGCACAACCTACTTCCGTAATAACAATATTACAGTTGTATGAGAGCTTCCGGGTGTGCTGAGCTCGGCATGGGGGCTAACATCTGGGGATTCAGATTCTTTATAAACAAAACTCATAAAAATAAAATAGAAAAAATAAGCCTAAGGTTGTACCAACAGGTTTTAGAACAAGTTTCAGAAATCAAGTTCTTAGGAGGTATAATTTGGTAATCATGTTCAATATATAGTAAATAAAGCTGGGACCTATGGCTGGGGCAGATTGGGGACCTAACCGGACCTCATTAATAAGAATATATGCTAAGTTTAATAAGATCTATACAACCTATAGATTATGCATTGTTTATTCTTCTACATCAGCATCACAGATAAAAAAGGTGAAAAGTATACAATCACAGGCTTTAAGAATTTGCCGTGGGTCTTTTTTTTTTTTTTTTTTTATCACCAGAAGCACGGTTACAGGTGGAAATGGGAGAAATGCCTTTTGTGGTAACAATTGAAATGTTTTATAATATATTAGTAAAAGGACACAAGAATAGTCACCTTGTTAAAGATGTTTATATACAGTATGAACTGTTGGGAATATGAATATTCAAGTAGCCAGTTTCGGATGGAGTGCTAATAATGATTCCGTTGGTCAATGGGCTTTATGCCCAGCTGCACTACTTCCTGAATTTCAGCCAGCTCCTTGTTTCCTGTCTGCCATTATTGGCCACATTGATTAATCCAGGTGTGTCTGATTATTGTTGCTGTGACTACTAAGGTCAGGCACACCTGAATTAATCAAATTGTCCAATAATGGCAGACAGGAAACAAGGAGCTGGCTGAAGTTCAGGAAGTAGTGCAGCTGTGCATAAAGCCCATTGCCGGAATTACACTCAGAGAAGGATTTCTAAAGATTTGAGTAGCTACTTAAATGTATACTGACGGCTCAAAAAATCTTGAATACAGCTGTAGCACAGCTGGACTTTAAAATATGGGGAAAGAACATCTAATTTCTTAACTGTTTACTCCTCAGAATTGATTGCTATTCAATTGGCCCCCAATGGGTGGAACTTGGAAGAGGTATGCCTCGTTCAATCTGTTCTAATTCTTTATCAAATCTTATAAGTCTGAAAAATGTAAAATTTATAGAACAGGATATGTTATAATATACATCATATATAGGATAATATACAGATGGTCTATAGAAACTGTTCGGACCCCAAGAATTCATCAGTCAGGAATAGAAGTCTTCGTTTTTGTGGATTCCTGCTCATGTATTGAGAATGAAATAGCAGATTAGTTGGCAAAAATGAGTTGTAAATGTCCCTCTGGGGAAAGCTGAAATAAAGAGCTTAGTTAGGTTAAAAATATAATTATAGACAAGAGTTGTGGACAAGGAAAGGGAAGAAATTTATATGAAATAAAAGAAGTAGGAAATGTGAGAGAAGTTTGTGGCAAAATAAGGGATGACACAATAATTTCTGTCAAACGTGTGCTGGTTAAAAGAACTTGCTTAACAATAATTCAAAAGTGACTACTGCTTTATTATATCTTAAGAAAACACATTTGATTAGGAGAAGAATGTACATTTTTATTAAATCCTTATTGTCCGTCAACGCCTCTCACTGACTCCACCCCAGTAGGTGGCGGAAATGAACCAAAGTAGCTGTGCCAACCGCCTTTAAATTCAGAAAGAAGAAGACGAAGAAGAGCTCGGCATGGTTACGCATGTGATTATTTCGATGTCTCGCTTATAATGCCGGGTTTGTTTATAGCTTGTTTTGAATAAACGTTGTTTTTTGGTAAGTTGTGAAGTATTAACTCGCGTGATATAACGTTAGTCATTTTAATAACTAGGCGCATTCTTTAACGGTGCTTATAATCTTCATACAGCGTTTGTATTTTTATTGATTATCTTTACCATTAGTTACCATGTGTAACGTTACATGGAGGCAGCGGTTATAGTTTCTAAATTAATTGTGACGTGGGTTTTGTTGTCGTTTGTCAGGTGTCATTGACTCTAATGTATTTTTGGTTTGTGTTCTCAGATGAAGAGCATTTGCGATAAATAATGGAATGCCAGGGCAGAGATTTCCTCAATTCACCTCCAATGAAAACTGTGCGTTTTGGAGGCAATGTTGCCAATACTTTAGCTAAACTACAACAGGTGAGTTTATTATAAATACAATATGAAGCATACATATCACTGTCTGTTAAACATGCCATAATGACTGTCTAATGTGACGTCTACAGGGTGACTCAAGTGACTATGAACTGATAAAACATCAACTCTCAGATCCTGATATTAAGGCAAGTATTGCTTTTAATGGATATTTCATGGTTCCCATGCTCAATATTGTGTTCAGCTCGTTTTAGTTTAGGTCAATGTTGACTTCATTCAGGTCAATAATATTGGCAGTTCATCAATTTCAAGTTAAAGTGATGTTCAGTTTATTTATTCCCTTATTGATTAGTTGGGGAATCAAAGTGATGTATACAAATCCTAATTTATTAAGCACAAATGATTGGTGTGGGAATCCTAGAATTTGTTTAGCCTAAACATGCACATTGGAAATGCATTGCTTTCTCATTGTTATGTTTGTCATTGTAGGATGCTCAAATTATCAGCTGGTTGCAGGAATTCAGGGTTTGTGTCACTCAACTTGGAAAGGATCACGAGCAATTAATATATGTTGTTTTGGTGAGTGAAACCGCAATATGTCAAATGTTAATCAAATACAGTCAGGTCACTTTATCTGTAACATATGACGTGTTTCCCCACACAGAAGCTGCCATGGCTCGGTCGCAGTCAGGCTGTCGTGGAAGAATATCTGGCTTTTCTGAGCAATCTAGTGTCGGCCCAGACGGTATATCTCAGACCCTGTCTTGGAATGGTCGTCTCTAATTTTGCACCAAGTAAGATAACTATTATTATTCCTTGTTATTGCTTCACTCAATTCACTCTGGTCAGATTACTTAAAATCATGTTGTTGTTTTGCCTTTTTTTTTCTAGAGAGAATAAGAATACAAGAGGGAAATGTGGATATTTCAGATTCTGATGACGAAGATGAAAGTTGGTGTATTTCATTATTTAACTACTTGTGGTTTGTGATTTTAATTTGTGATATTGACTTTTAGGCCTGTCACGATTATTGATTAATCGTGTGATTGTGATTTATTCTACCTATCACATTCTACCCGTTGAAATCCCTGGCTCCACTCCATAATTCACTGTTTCTTTCAAATTCACACAGATCTACCTAGGACCTTTGATCAGTGTCATCAAGCCCTACAGCTGATTACGAGATATGTTCCATCGTAAGTGTCTCACAAACTCCCTCCCAAAGCTTCTTTTTAATATTAAGCAGTACTTAATAAACTGCCTCGCTCTTTCAGAACCAGTCGCTTCCTGATGCCAATCCTCTCTGAAAAGTTTCCTTTTGTGCAGAAGTCCACCAGAACACTTGTGAGTTATTCACTGCATTTAAATCCCAGTACCTGAGTAAAGTAATGTGATTACATGTGTGAATGTGATACTTGTCCACACAGGAGTGTTACGTGCACAACCTGTTGAGGGTTACGGTCTACATCCCTGACCTGAGGAGAGACATCTTAGAGCTCATCATCAGCAAGATGCTCACACTAGATGTAAGTGGCACTGTACTGATGTCTTGGCATCCATGCAGATGTTTGACTGCTGTTTTTCTTTTTTTACATTTAGGTTAGTGCACCACGGAGTGAGATTGAAGAAGTGGAAAGTGGAGGTCAGGAAGATGCCAGTGGAGCATCGCAGGATGAGTGCCTCTTCAACATGGTGAGTCCAAAACACTTATATTTAACATTCACATAAAAGCACAAAAAAACTCATTTAAAGTGATCGTTCAACAAGAAAATGTATCATAGACTTAACCTCATTTTCAGTCGTTTTAAACATTTATGACTTAATTTCTTCTGTGAAATTAGTTGTATAGTCATTGTTGAATGTGAGCTGGAAGCTCACAAGTTTAAGCGTTCAAGCTTAAAAAAAGAGGCAAGGTTATCATAAAAGTAGTTTATTGAGGTCTTTAACCTTGCTCCTTCAAACACACCTGAACCAGCTACTCAAGCTCTTTGGGATCATGTGAAAATCACAAGCTGAAGCAGGTTGGATGTAAACTTTGCTGGGCAATGGGTCTCTAGGAGAAGAGTTGAAGACCCTCTGGACTATACAACTTATTTTTGATAGGAACACAGCGAGTTTTTGGAAATGGGCTAACTCATTCATATCATAGTATTTTTTTTAATGTTTGACTAGTCATAAATCTACTCTTTTCTGATTCAGGATGAGGAAGAGGACTCTCCACTGAATTCAACACCTGATGGAGCTGTAATGGTCCATCCCATGGCAGAAAGACTGGACACAATAATGACTGTCCTGCTGGCTTACATTAAAGACGTGTGCTATGTTAATGGTCAGGGAATTACCATTTTATTTACTCAGTAGTGTTGTTTTTTTTTTAAGGGATGTTAGTCAAGAAGAATGTTTAATCGCAACTCATTTGGCACATACAGTCCTTTTTTTAGGAATGAAAACAAGAAAATTTAACTTTTCAAAAGTTTGGGGTCAGTAAAAGCATTTTTAATCTTTCAAAAGATTTTTGTTTCAAATAAACTCTTTATTCATCAAAGAATCCTGAAAAAAATGTATTATGAATTACACCAAAATATTACGCAGCACAACTATTTTCAACATTGATGATAATGATAAATGTTTCTTGAGCTTCAAATCATCACATTGAAATAATTTGGTTAAAAAATAAAAGGTTATGTGACACTGAAGACTAGAATAATGATGATGAAACTTCAGCTTTGCATCACAGGAATAAATTACATTGTAATATTAAAATAGAAAACACTTATTTTAAATTGTAATAATATTTTACTGTTTTTGCTGTATTTCTGAATAAATAAATGCAGTACTGGCAAGCATAAGAGACTTGGAGACAAAAACATTTAAAAAAAAAAAAAATCTCCAGCCCAAATCTTTTGAATGGTAATATGTATTGTGTGAGCCAGTTTGTGTGGATGGCATTGCAGAATATAAATATGTGTAAAGAAGAGTGATAAAATACACCAGCATTAATATTTAACTAATGACATGCATTATTAATATGTGCATTAATGTTATACAATTTTTTTGTTGTTCCAATCTCATTAGGCTCTTTAGATATTGAGAAAACCAAAGCTTTGTACAGAGACCTGGTGTGTGTGTTTGATAAGGTGGTTCTTCCCACTCATGCTTCCTGTCACGTGCAGTACTACATCTTCTACCTGTGCAGCTTCCATCTGGTAAGGTCACACTTCTCCCTCATTCACAAAACCAAAAAGCATACCTAGACATCAAAAACTTTTTCTTTTTTTTCAGGGTTTGGCTGAAGCTTTTTTGGATCACTTATGGAAGCTGTTACAAGGCCCCAACCAACCCCCCATCCTGAGACAGGCCGCTGCTGGGTACATGGGCAGCTTCATGGCAAGAGCCAAGTTTTTGCCAGTGTCGTACGTGACTTTATCTTATCTAATTCATTGGAGTTCAATATTTAATCATCTTTCTTGGCAGTGGTTTGTTACCTCGATTAGGTAATTAAACATTAATGCCTCTTTGTTGGTGTCTGAGAAAGAAAAGGGGTTTGATTGGACACGGGTACCTTTATTTGTCAAAACATAATTTGAAACCTACATGTGAAAATTGCTGCTGTTGAGTTTCCTCTCTCTTCCATCCATAGGACAGTCAAGGCCTGTCTGGACCTGTTAGTTCCCTGGCTGCACCTTTACATTGACAGTCAGGACACGGGGTCCAAAGCATTCTGTGACATCAATCTCCACGGCCCCTTTTATGCAGCCTGCCAGGCTGTGTTTTACACACTGATCTTCAGGCACAATGTCATTCTTGAGGGCAGTCTGAAGAAAGGTCAGTACATGTGGGATTTAAATCATTTGTAAGTTAAATTTGTTTTGTTTTTTCCTCTGATCTATTAATTTATATATATATATATATACATAAAAATCCATGCGCAAACAATGAGCACTTTTAAGCATGAAATTTATATTAGATATTTTGAGGGTCTTTAAAGCTGCTGTAGGTAACTTGTTAAAACTTGTTAAAACGGTCATGTTCACATGATGTTTTGTTTCTATATATTTCATTGAATTAACATGAATATGAAGAGTACATATCTAAGACCTTGACAAATGTGTTTGCTTTTCTTTATGGTGAACACTGGTCATCCTGCAGGGTTGGCGTATCTTCAGGGTTTGAATCTAGAGCGTATAGTGATGTGTCAGCTCAACCCTCTGAGGGTCTGTCTACCTGCTGTCACCAACATGTTTGCAGCCATCACCAGGTACAGCATGAGAGAGATCTCGTTCATCAGGTTACAAAGCTTTATGAAATTGTAGCATGACAAATGAGGGCAATTTCACCCTTCTGTTGGCAGGAAGTACCAGCTCGTGTTCTGTTACACCATCATTGAGCGGAACAACCGCCACTTGTTGCCTGTGGTGAGGAGTTCTGTGGGCGGCAACTCGGTGTATGCTAACACAAACCCCCTGGATACCTTCTTCCCTTTCGATCCATATCTCCTTAAAAGGTAAGATCATGTCCATTTTGATCAACCTCAGCACTGGAATAATAGTTCTGGGTGTTTATTTATTTGTTCATTTTTACAACAGCTCTGGAAAATTCATTGAGCCAATTTACCAGGTGTGGGAGGAGCCGTCCGACTGTGTGATTCAAGTGCCCAAAAAGGAAGCGAGAAAGGTGACCCTAACTTGCATTCACAGTGGCCACAAAGAGCATTTCATTTGGATCCTTAAAATATCGACTTTTCGTCTTTTTTGCGACGTATACACAAGTGAAATGGCTTCGCGAGCCAGAACAATGCAGGGAGGGACTTGGTTTTGTTCATTAGGAATTCATTAGATGATTATTACTACTGGCTAGATTAAAGATTACGAGGGCACATACAATATGTGCACGTATAAATTATTTATAATAAATACATCAATATTCCACAAACTGGGTGTCAAATAGATTTTTCATTCAATATCTAATAACACTTGATCTTGTCTCACAGGGGTCTATGGAGGAGGAAGATGACTTTCTGCATGGAGAAACACCTCATGGAGACTCAATAATGGGCATGACTCCGGGCTCTTATGACTCCAATCTGCACAGTCCGCGGAGCGTGGGCTCGCCCCCCATCTCCTTCCTCCAGCGGCCTTTCTGATCCACTGCTGTAGTGAACAGCTGGTCACAGACTTCACGCCATGAAGGTGCTCAAGGAATGCTTGTGTTAGCGCAGATGTTTCTCTCTGACGCACCAGCATTACTGACCCGAGTGTTTGTCAGTAGTTTTACCCTCTACTACACTTAAAGACTGGATCATATAATACAAATATGTGTTTGTTGCATATTTTAGCTATATACGTAGTAGAATGAAAGACACATTGGTTCTTTCTGTTTTCAGGAGACTCTCCAGACTATTGTAATTAAATTATCACTGAGATAATTAGCATTTTTAAAAAATATTTTCAGCTTATTCTGAAAGGATTGGAGAGTTTGTAATAAATTGGTGGTGTGTGTTCATTGGTAAATGGGCATCACTTTCCATGTTATAAGTTTGAGGTCTGATTAAACCGTTGTCTCTTTGTACAAAACGTTTTGTAGGAAACCGACCGTCATTTAAAGATGGAGTTCTCTTATTTGTTATATTATTGGAATTTTTGGACTTGTCATATTGTTCTGTACAAATTTCACAACATGCACAGTGAATATGTTTTGAGTGTTGTGTTTGTGCTACACTCAAAAGAGTTTTGAAATTTGTAATCTGTAAAATAATTAACATGAAATAATGAAGTGGTCATGCTATCTTGTTAAAATGTTAAAAATGTAATTATTGACTGTTTTACTAAAGGTTTATTACTCTATTTATTTACTTTTTTAAATATAATTTTCTCCCACCAAAAATCAAAATTTTATTTTGTATATTTGGAGTAATACAATATAAATGTCAATAATTGCATTTTTATCCTTAAGCAAGATATTACTGTTCATGTTTAGGGTCAGGATTGGTTTTTTTGTTTTTTTTTAGAAAAACAGTAAGGCATTAAATTGATTAAAAGTAAGAATAAAAACATTTTTAGAATTAAAAAATGTGTTAAATGTCCTTTTGAACTTGCTTTTCATTAAGATTTTTTTTTTTTTTTTTTTAAAGAGTTAGCAACTGTGATTATTTCCATATATGTATATATGCACATATATAAATAAAGGTAACTGGAAAGGTCAAATTCGGTGATGCATCCTTAACAGAAACTCTACTGATGTGCATAGTCATATCTTAAAAAAAAAAAAAAAAAAAAAAAACAGATACATGCAAGCTGTTGCAGATTACACAAGCATTAAAACTGTCAGCATGCAATCCTTGGTTGCCAAATAAAAATGTTAAAATATTGTATCATGAGCCAGCTCTGGCACATAAGCATGAGCAGATTTAAAAATAGCATACAATCCCTCTAGTATTTGAAGTGTCAAAGCTCCACCGACTTCCACTACATAAAATCGTAAAAAAAAAAAAAACACATGACACATTTGTTCTGACTTTAATAAAAACATTACAAGAAAGATATTTAGGCCACACATAAGATGCAATCTAGTTAAATCACAGGACTACATGTCAGCATTTGTAGAGCATGTGCTGTTATTAACATCAACAAACCCCCTGCATAACCGCACACCTCTATCCTCAGGAAATGAATGATACCAGCTTATTACACATTGATATAAGTGACTGTAGATCCTATATACCAAGACAAAACAGGCGCATACTGTGTGCTTATGAAAACAGTAACCTGAACCATGTGCATTGTTCAGCTGAATGGATGCATTCGGGGTGGAACGCTGCAATATGACCCCCATTACTTGATTCAAGTGCCATGACAACCAAAATCCCCCTCAGAACTATCAGTATAGTGACGAGGACACTGAGATGGAGCAACGTTACTGTCCATCTCAGAAACAAGCCACAAAAGATCCACCTAAAGCACTTAACAGACCATACCTGATAGTAGTGCAGTGGATGCTGGGTGCCATTGGATCGACCTGTACCGCAAATCCATCCGAGCACAGACCGGCGTGATCGGCAAATACATGAAGAGAACATCGAAAGGGTTCGACGGCAAGATTTACAAGCTTTATGACGACGAGCGCCCACGTACTTTAAAGCGAGCATGTCTATGTGTGTCTGCATAATAAAAGATTCGGACCGAAAATATAAAATCTTCAAAACGTCATAGCACTTCTCAGAACACATACAAATAAACATCATATCAAATGATGAAAAGTGGGGACTGTCCCAAAAATCCCTAAATGAAATGTAATACATGTACTGTATAATATAGCTAACTCTAAAAGAGAGGTCAGCTGCTCGGCCACATGTGTTTTCATTACAGTGGTTGAATGGGGAGATGCACGGCACACGCTGACACACTTGAAATCGCATTTGAGCATCTCAAAGTCGCCTCTGCTGTTAATTGTGCTGTTTGTGTTTCAGATTTCAATCCCCTTGGTTGGTTTCTGCCTTTACATTATGACACTGAGTAATGCTACACATATTAAATAAGTACATGGACTGCTTTAAAAAAATGAGTATCAGTTTGATCAGTAGATCTCAGGCCTCTGATACCACTCGAACTATGAACTGAAGAAGTGAAAACCACACTGTAGATGTTCACAGTCTCTTATTTTCCACAGTATAGTTTCAGTTCAGCCTTGATGTTCTGAATGAGCCCGGTTTGTCTGTCCATCCCAGAAGCTCTACTGACCTCTCCGCTCTACTGCAGGACCGCCGAGGACAGGAGGTTGTGGCCAGTGAACGAGGCTACAGGAAAAAAGAGAGCGTGATTGTAGATTATATGTGGTATTACGTAAATCGATAATATTGTACTGTAAATAAGATACTGAATCTGAAAAATGTTGTTTATCATATGCCATATTCCCTTCAGAGGACACAACTTCCATGGTGAGAGCTTACACTATTGGACATCAGTTGTATTTTTACACAATGTAAATAATTCAATTTTTTTTACTGTTAGACTTAATTTTAAATTGTCAAATTGTCGCAAATGAACATTTCAGGAAAATGTTTTGGGGTTTCTAATCAAGATGGATTTCACACATCGCCTGTAGTTGACATCAGGCATTTTGAGAGACACCGCAAGTGAATAGGGAAAGAATGGAATTGACATGACATGAGATGGCTGCCCTCATTGTTCTCCTTTCAAAATGTCATAATTAATGCCCTTTAAAACATCAGTTGTCAAAAAATTAGCCATGTGACACCTGCATTGCTGTTCCAAAACCCCTTGTCAAACTGGATAACTTACAGACTTTGCGAGGCCAGCAGTTATAGTGAAGGCTTTTGAAGCAGAGAAATGAACATTTGGCCTGAGCTCAACTCAGCTGACAGCAGCAGTTGAAGGGAAAAATGCTGATTGCTTCATAACACAATAAAAACGGCCACTCACTTTGAATCACAGTCCTCTTCGGGCTTCACAACGCATCCCTCTACGTACTGCGGTAATGCTGCAAAACAACCAAACATTTTCATCACAGATATGACAACAACACAAGTTCAAATAAGTTCATTAGAGCAAAAAGTCCATAAACTGTCCCATTCTAACAGATAAAGTCACACTCCACTCGAACAGAGTCAGACTGAAATAGCTTTGACGCAGCTACTCAGATTAGACGCCCAGAACTGGTGATGATCTAGTGCACATTTCTCACTTACTGTGATCCTCGGTGCAAAGTGAGCAGACACCATCCACAAGCTCTTTGGCCTCAGCTGCGAGCTGGCAGGCGGGGTCGGGGATCGGGGAAGGTGTGTCGGGGCTGTCAATCGCTGGAGACGCCCGTGCGCTGTAGGATGAGAAGGAGATGTCATGATGATCACTGATAGGGGGATCACTGCAACTTTCAATGTGTTTGGCTTCAGAAACTTACCCATTTTCAATCCCAAATAAGCTGGTGCTGGTGAGAACTTTGTGGACATTCTGTAAAAACAGTGCAAATTATAAACTTAGATGTTTTGGTGCTTTGGTGTTCTTGAAGGACCACTGACACCTAAATACAACACATTACAATTAATTTTAAGTCAAAAACTGGTTTGATTTTACCTGGGCAAAGCCAAGGAGTTTCTTGTTGGAAATCTCCAGGTGTTTCCGTGTGAGTTCAGACCTTCTCAGCTGGCTGTCAATGACGTTGAACTTTCTATTCAGATCCATCACATCCTCCTGTGGAAAAAAAATGGCCTTTAATATCAGTGTTGTTAAAATGAACTAAGAGGACATTTACACAACACCGTTTTACAATTAAAAAAAACAACCTTTTATGCATTTTGGCTGTTCATTTACACGACAGTGGCGTTTTAAGGGCCTGAAATGCAATTGCTTGAAAACAGGTTTCAAAGTGCACATTTTTGAAAACTATATCATTATCTTCATTAATTTGTGAGAACAGTGACGTCATCCAAATGCGTACTACATTTAGTATATAGGCATACAGGAGTACTTGACAACCAAAACAGCGATAGCGCACTACAGGAATGTGTTTGTGCTGCTCAGGATCCTGAGTTTATTAATGCTTCTCCGGCAAATTATTGTATTCATCCCTCTGTAGAAAAATGTGTACATGGACAGGTCCATAGTTTTTCTTGACATCGTCAACTACTGGCCTGAATAATGCAGCGTTTTTAGTCGTTTTCACAGATCCGTGAGAAAAGGATTTGGTTCATTGTGGTAACAAACTATTCTAATTTTAATTAATTACATTTAAAGCTGAATTAAAATGAAATATAATTATTAGTCAAAAAAAACCTCAAATGTTGCAAAATGACAAACTAAATGACTAAACAGAAATGTTTTTTAAAAAAATGACAAAGCACAAACGAATGACTAATAAAATTTTAAAAAATAATTTCAAATATTCATAAATACTACAATAGTTCAAGTGTTTGAGCCAGACTGGACAGTGTTTTATTAGATAACAATCGCCTGGCAACTCATTCCAAAAAGGTTTCATCCATTGCATCATCTTGTAAATGTCTTATAAATGATATGAATAATTTTTCAGGAAACAAAGAGATGTGATAAAAGAGGAAAAAGTACCTTGGTAGCCTCAAGTCCTCTCTGTTTCTTTCCGGCTACCTGGCTCTTCAGATCTTTGATTTCAGCCTCCAGGAGCTGAATGACCTCCTCGTAGTCTTGTTCGGCACTGTTAGTCTGTCTCTGAACAGCCTCTGCGACCTGCAGCTTACTCTTCAGACACTTATTCTCTTCCACTGTGGCTGTGGCCTTCTGTTTCATCCACACATGGAAATAAGGGAACACACAAATTGACGGGTAGACAAATGTCTTAAAAGTTCAGACGCTCTTGTTGTGATAGTATCTATTTGGTATGCACAAAGTGTTGGTGTATTAAATCAGCTCTCTGCCTCTTTAGGTTTTGATGTCATATTTTTGAGACATTTAAGATTAGTCACATCGAAGTCGTGTTTATTTCGAGGATTTACCTCAGCTGTCTTCTGCAGTTCCTCCTCCAGAGTCTTCTTACTGTCTTCTGTGTCTTTCAGTAACACCTGAGAGCAGTGTAATGGAGGTTCATGTCAAAAAAGCTTTTTGCACAAATGTTCAGCTCAGTCTTGTACAGAGCCTTGTACATGACACATGGAAGAAAAACAGATATTGTGGCCAATAGATATTTGATCTCACAACTTATTAATTTGTGGCCCCCTTGTAATAATTTGTCTTCTTGTTTTTTGTTTTTTTTTTAATTGTGGGCACAATCCAGAAAATGAGGTAATAAATTAAATTGTGGCAACAATAACTTGTTTTTCCCCCTGCATGTCATGTGTGGGACCTCATAGTCTAGCAACATTTTATGGAAAGTCAACCAGGCTCCAAAATAAACGTTCTCTATTTAGTTGTCAGAAGAGCTGGCATTGTTTATTACGCATAGTGTTGACTCCTTGACGTACTGCTTTGTTAGTCGCTTTGGATAAAAGCATCTTCTAAATGCATAAATGTAAATGCAATGCAAATGTAAATTAAATCTAAATGTGCAAATAGATAAAATGTACTGACTAAAAATATTTCTTATAAGTAATGAAACTTTATTTTGCATGAAAGCCCATTTCTGCCACATAAGAAAATAAATCATATTTTTGTATATCATAATTATGACAATTATGACAGACCATTACGATTTCTGTAAATTTGAACTGTCAACTTTTAGAAATTTTTAATCATAATTTTGGCCTTGCATATCTTAATTTGGACTTTATCTCAAATTCAATTTGACAAAATTCTGACTTCTTTTGGCATAATTTAATTTTTTTTGAAAGCATGAGTATTTTTTTCTTGGTGGAAATGAGCTTCCGTAATTTTGCATTTAAAAAAAAATTTTTTTTTTCTGTCTATTCCATATCCTATATATTTTTGGTTTTGTTTTGTGGGTTTTAGTGAGGAATATTCCACATGTGTTGAAACATGGAGTTGTAGAGGAAAGAACTTGTCAGATAAACATGATGGTAAGTTTTCCACTGAGGGAAAAGTACGAGCTGCGACAGGTGTTTTTTTAAGTGAATCAGTCGAGACTATCATTTTTACAATTTGACTTCATTTACTGGACAATTGTCAGTTTATTTACTCACTAAAGCCAATTTTGACTTGAATTTGGCACTTAGCGAGTGTTCATTTTGGACCCTGCAGTCAGCAATTATAGTACTATACTTCTATTATCTATTGATTGAAGGAAGCAACACAATCCAGCTACCCCTGTTTATTTCAGTACTCACCTTGAGTTGTTTCATTTGCAGCTGGAGTTGTTTGACTTCCGTCTGAAACTCCTCCAGCTCCTCACTGCTGTAGCTGCACTCTGACTCATAGGTCTGAAAGTGAGAGTGACACTGTTAAAACAACTCATTCAGAAGTGTGTGACCCTTCCTCTGGGATCTGAAAGAAAATAAAAACATTAAAACCACTACCAATTCAGTGCTCATACATCTATGTGAGACAAATCCAAAGGCACAGGCGACCAAAACAGGCAAACTCTGACAATCGAAGCGTTTAAGAGCTTAAAAGACAGCTTTGATAACTTTTCTGAACAGGAGAAAAGCTCCTTTAAGATCCCTGAGTAAATCTCCCGACATGCTCAGCTTCAGGAGAAAGTGAAGTCTCAAATGTGAGGAGGTGCTCTGAGGATTGTGCCGAAGTTTAGCCCAAATCAAAGTCAAGCATTCCAATACTAAATCCTGCGGGTCTACTTACAGGGGAATGAAAGGCAGAGGTGTCCATCAAACTAGCTGCTTCCTGATAGGAGAACATAAAGGGTCCCTGTCCCAGTCCCGCCTCCTCCAGCTTCTCTTGATACACGCTGCGGGTGGCTTCCACAAAGTCTTATTAAAGAAAACAGAGCCATAGTTAGAAATGGCCAAAAATTACTCTAGAAATATAAAAAGCATGCAAGAAATTACACTATCAAAATCATTAAGATTTTTTTATGTTTTAACTCAGAGGCTGCATTTAAAAACAGTGAAAACAGTAATATTGTGAAAAAGTACTTTTGTTCAATTTTAATGCATTTTGAAATGTAATTTATTCCTGTGATGCAAAGCTAAATTTTCTGTATCCTTACTCATAGTCATACATTCAGTGTCACATGATCCTTCAGAAATCATTCTAATATGATAATTTGCTGCTCAAGAAACAGTAGTGCTGCTTAATACTGAAATAGATACTATTTTAAATTGTAATAATATTAACAATATTACTGTGCTATTGATCAAATAAATGCAGCCTTTTTATACAAAACTTTTGACCAGTCTGAGTGATGATTTGAAAATGTGATTTCAGGTCAACATTTGCTTTCTAAACAGAAAAGTGGGTGTCTATAGTCTCTTCTCCTGTCACTCAGCTAAATATATCCAGATTTTTCCTCATAACAGGAGAAAGAGCATCAAGAGGGAATATTTATGTATAGGTGCCCTTGGTGTAAGTGTTTGCACACCTGAAGTACAAAAAAACAGGAAGAACTCTTGCTCCACCACACACACTTTGATCAGGATTTGCCGTGGTGACATCTTCCTGCTGAGGAGTTCAGGAGTGAAGTGTAACTCCCTGTCAAGAGCAGCCTGGAAATATACTTAGCTGTCTAAGTTTGTACTGAACCCATTTTTTTTTTTACTGAAAATCTGTCTCTAAAAACTCATTCTGAGTGTTTCAAAGCACAAACTCAAGCCCAATATCCAAATATGGAATGTGATTCCCTTTTCAAAAGGGGTATTTCCATTTATGTCAAAATGTGGTTATTTCAGGAGGTTGATAAGGTACCTTAGACATGCAAGCTGAACCAGTAATCATTGGCATCCAAAGATGAATACGAGAGAGATTAATATTAAATGTTTTTTTAGTTATTTCAGTAATGTTGAATCCAACGCATTGCGTGCTAACCTCCATCTTCTTCTTTTTTTTTTTGATAAACTACAGTAATCCTTTTTTATTTGTCATGCAACCTGTTTAATTTATTTATAAGCACAATGGAAGCCTAACACTCTTAACAGTGAATAGTGCAAGTAAACTGCCTATCAAGTGGGTATCATGTGTACATACTGGTGATTCAAAAAGTGATTCAAAATGATTGTTAAAATGAGGAAAATGTCCTGTATCTACAGTAGTTGACTGACTGAGGACCATGTTAAGAATGTGTCTATACCTCCATATGAGACCGTTCCCTGAGGGTCTGTAGTGAGACTCTCTCTGAGCTGCAGTCTCTTCTCTTCTGTTAAATCCAGACCCAGGTACGACAGAGCCTGCAAAATGATACAACAAGCTTGTTCAAACAAATCTAGCTCCTTTGACTTTTCTTTTACTAAATTACTAATACGTTATTAAAATCAAAGGTTGTGTTTGTTAACATTAGTAAATGCACTGTGAACTAACATGAACAAACAATGAACATAAGATTAATAAATACTGTAACAAATGTATTGCTCATTGTTAGTTCACGTTAGTTCACAGTGCATTTACTAATGTTAACTAATGAACCTTATTGTAAAGTGTTACCGAAAAACTACAAAACAAAAAAATGAAAAATAACTATAAACACTGAACCTTAAATATTTAGTATAGTATATTTGAAGAGTTGACTGATACTAACTATGATTCCTTATCAAACAGTCAAGCTTGTAAAGAGTCATGCTACTGTTACACACACAAGATGGCAGTGTGGTAGCAGATGTCAAGTCAGTGGCATACAATAAATCCAGGCTTATGGTCCATAAGAGTTCAAAAGGCTAATCAATAATGCATTAATAAGGCTAATCAGCCTAATCAGCCTTACCAACCAACAATCTGATATTGCCACAAAAATAAGATATACTGTTCAAACACCAATGGCAAGAAAAACTGTCCTGTACCAGATAAAATATTTGCTTGAAACACGTGATGAACAGTATAAAGTCGCATTGAAAACTTTGCACTATGTCAAATACCTGTTCGTGCAACACTTAACATTGTGTGCATTGTGCCTTTAGTCCACATTTAAGTGCTCTTGTCCATTGAGACCTAATCCTATTAATGGGCCGGTAGATTAGGGTCAGCCCCAGGATCAGAAGGATTAAATTAAATCTCTGCTAAACAACTGCACCATAATAAAGAGTAGAGAGAGAGATATCTATGAGGAAAGTGACACTAAGATACGAGAGGTTATCTACATAAGCACTCTGTCAGTTACTTTGCACTGAGATACAGCCTCCTTTTAAAGTCAATCGTACAGATTTCAATGGGGGGTTTTACCCTTTAAATTTACCACATTTTCTGAACCACTGGGTCTAATCATTACTAAAGGTAATACATACAAGCATAATGTCACTGCAGCCATGAGTAATGCAAAAATATATATAAAGAGAATTACATTTGTGCTCATTGATTTTTCCTAATAAAACATTTATCCCAAAATTAACAGCATTATTTCTTTTTTAATGTAAAAGAAAAACATCCTACCCAAAAGCTGTAGCCATAGTGTACCATTTTTACCATAACACTGTTTAAAGAGTAGACAAAGTGATAATATAATAACCCTACAAGAAATGAATATAGTGAATAAGTGAATTTCTTGGTCCATGGAGAATGAGTAGACATTGTTCATTTACATATTCTACTGACAATGTAACAATACAAATAATGTTGAAAATCACTCTTCGTACACATGTAAAACTCTTTGTAAACCAGCCTTACCAGATCAAGCTTCTCTGATTTGAGCCGTATGTGGGGGTCCAACGAGATCTTGGGTTTGGAAACAGTGGCTGGTCTCTGTACGGTGGAGGCTGAGGGGGGAAAAGGGACAATAAAAAACACCTACTTGAAGAGTCATACTCACATTACAGCATTTAGTGGTGAGAGCTAGTTAGCTGGTTTGGAAAACATGGCCTTAATGTGTTTTTTCATTGTCTGGGAGAACAAATGAATGGGTATTATATTAATACAATAAAGATTATGAACTGTGTGAGGGATTTGAATCGAAGAGGCGAGAGAGATAGCGATAGAGAAAGAGAGGTATTAACGCCAGTGCTTTCAGTTGCGTGTGTATTGTTAAGCAACGCCGGGGATTTAGCTGCCTTCTGACGCTCATGACTGACAGGTTGAGCTCAGACATGTCAGACTCGCGCAGACTCAGACAGATTCAATGCTGGTAATTCAGGACCAACAAGCACAGCAGGGAGCTCGGGCAGGGGGAGTGGATTTAACAGGTGGGACTGATTGTACACAATCCAGGACAACTAAAACAATCCAGATTAATGGTGCTTCTATGAATGTTCCACCAGAATTGCAAGCATGTGAATAGCCAAATGTGTTTGTAGCATTACGAAGGGATAGTTAATCTAAATATGAATTCTGGCGAATCACCCAAATGTTGTTCAAATGCATATCAATTCCTTTCTTACAAAATGAAAAATTACAAAAGGTGAATTTTTTGGAAGAATTGACCATTCACTAAGCCCCGCCCTCCCTAGTTACTGTTGCTACGCCTGTCAAGCTTTCGCGGCTGGCACATCTATACAGTGTGTATGCACCGGTGTCAGACATTCCCAATCAGAAAATTTGTAATTTTTGGCGAACATGTGAAATATCTGAGAGAGCAAGACAAAAGGGACTGCAGTATTCCATTCGAGGGATATATCCACGACATAATATGCAACCGATTAGAGAATAATTTCTTTAAAATTTAAGCTAAATCCTATAGTCCCAGCGCAAGCATCAGCACCTCATATGCTGACCGTTCAAATGGGAAACACACAAATTGAGGAACAGCTATGCTCGTGCACAGCAGGGTAAGGCAAATGTGAAAATAATCCTAATAATTATAAATCAAACTGCTTATCCATAAATCTTGTGGAATAACACTAACACCGGGAGAGCCGTGATCGGATTGGGTTAAAGTTAGTTGGGTTAAAGTAGGCCGTCGATTAACAAAATGCTGAAATATATTTTAAAGTATGTCAGTGAGCCTCCATCTTGTCTTTAATCGTCTTATTTTACGTAAAAATATATGCATTATGAACACAGAACCATCAATATTTCCAAGCAATAGTTGAATTTGTTAATCCTGTCGACATTTAGTTGTGAATGGGTCTCCCACACTGCTTGATCACGCCCTTCATTTCTCCCCGCAGCTTTTAGATTTTAGGGAACGAAAAAAAATCCACTTCCCCGTCCAAACTTTTAGGATACCGGGTATCAGATTTGCACAATCCATACGCACAATGCTTTGGCATGTTTCCCTCGCTCGAAAGCTTGCCAGACCTCCCACGCCTAGTTACAGTTGCTATGACACAATTGGCCAGTGGCGGTCTTCGGGTGTGGCTTAGCAAAGGGTCAATTCTCTGGCCAGTTTTCCATATCATTAAAGTGAATGGGGAGCTATCTATCAAGCTCAAAAATCACAAAAAAATACAATAAAAGTGACCATTTAACTTGAGCACCATATTCCCAAGTACTCTCGAACTACATACTGTATGGCAACATTAGATTTGGAGTCCATTTCAAAGCACCATAGAGGGGAGGATTATCCAACCAAGCTATTATATGACTTTAGAAGACTTGGGATATATAGCATATGATTCATTTAGACTACTGTTGATGTGTTTTTTGTTGTTGTTGTCATTTTCACTGCTTGACAGTCCCAGTCCCCAATTACTTTGGGAAAGAGTACTTTGGGATACAGGTTTTAGGTGATATGGGTGGCAACAGAAATCCAACTATCTAGTGACCAAGCTCAAAATCTGACAACATAAGCACTAACATCAACTTTTTAAAATAGTTTCATGTTTAGCCTAGTGTAGTACATTCAACAGTCAGCCTTTATGGTAGGTGTAAACCAGTTGTAAAAATCAGTTTCCATTGGATAGCAGAATTCTATAACAATCTCCACATCTCGACAAATCACAACTATTAAAGAATGACGACGAATGAAGATAAGCATGTGTCTGAGTCTGAGCACACCCGGTCTTCCTTTCTAGGAAGGACTCCCAGAAGGGCTTTTGAAGGGATTACAGTGCCCATTTAATTCAGATAAAACAGATCTTCCTAGATTTTATCAGCTAGTCTGGATAAATGGGTAATTAAGCACTATACACTTCATTGATGTCATGAATGATTAGAACATTGTGCTCGTAAACACGACACCACCCAGGGTTCAAGGGCAAACCAGGCATGCTTACATCCGGTCTAGATTAATCTCTGAGCCAGGGATAGCCAGACGGACAGGTGCGTGGTGCACATCTCAGTGGGCCTGACATGCATTCATTGTGTGTAGGACATTTGGACATGTATTTGGACATTGAAGCCATACTTCAAAACTGATCGAAATTCAAAGGTCTTGCATCATTTGTTTGCAGATTCCACTGGGTTTGGTATTTTGTATCTAATACACAACCTTCCGGTGTTTTGGAAATGTCCACAACAAGTTGCAGAGAAATACAGAGCATTTTTGGACATTATCTAAGCATACAAAGATCTCAGTGTCTGGAGAAGTGACTTGACATGTTAACATCCACACAGATAGCTTCTTCAAAGTATCTAATAGCATAAAATGGCTCTAAGGGGTTATCTCTGTATGGTTTCTATAACAACTTATCAATCCCATTTTGTGCCCCAAGAAAGGATTAGACATTACGCACAGCAAATCAATCTGTATTAAACAGATACCCAGCTGCTGTGAACTGAGATAAGAGCACAATCTGACTCAACATGAAAGAGGCCTTTTTCCTTTATTTTGTTATGTCTTCTAGAATTTGATTGTGTAATTTAAACACCTCACATACATGCCCGACCCCCGGAGCACAGAAAGATTACTTTGCAACTAGCCGTTGATTAAAATCCAAACACTGCTACTGACTAATCCCCAATCTTTCTCTCTCAAAATAAATAATTGCTTTGCATTAAATCCTGTTTCTCCGTGCACTTGATCATTTTGGATGCTACTTTCACTGAGACACAAGGTGTAATCTGTAAAGTTTAGAAACTAAGAGAGCAACTACATCCAGTATTCATTAAATTCAATGCATCTTTGTTGAATAAAGATGATTTCTAAAAATCTTGATGAACCCAAACTTTTGAACAGTAGTGTATTTTTAGAAATTTTGCCTCTCAAGTAAATTTATCTGTTTAAAAGTTGAATGTAAATTTATGTGCCGTTAACACCAACATATTGTGATTTAAAGGTTATAAAGAACTTAGTAAAGTATTTCACTTAAAGTACTGTTTATGTGGGTGATGAGAATATAGTGATAGTGTTAAGGGTGTAATGAGCCAACCGTTGAGACATGTACCTGAAACCTGTATGTCTGGAGGGCAGATTTCTGGGGCGGATGAAAGGACTGGAACGGTTTCCTCTTGTCGCATCTACGAGAAGAAAGTTATGAAGCATTGCATGCTTATTAAAAAGACCATAAAAAGGAAATTGCCTGTGTACACAACAATATATTGGTGTCATATTAATTATACAGAGACATGACATGAGCTGTACGCTATTAAACATTCACCTCAGGAGATCGGACATGAACCTTTAACCGGCTGGGGTTGTATCCATTCCCAACCCCCCTCTGAACCCCATTATGCAACAACAGGCTGTTGGAAAAAGGTCCTTTTCCAGGAATGAAGGCAATATCCACGACTGGTTCCTGACTTCAAAGGCAAAGAACAGGGACAAAAGAAATAAATTCTATAAAAGAAATAAGTACAATGATACTGATTAATTATTAAATATTGTTCAAAAGACGTAAAGCTACATGAACCAGAGCGAATACCTGAATTTCACTTTATTGAGTACACTTTTGGCCTCCTCATATGTGACTCCTATCAACGACTCCTTGTTAATGGCGATAAGCTGATCTCCAGGTCTGAGCCGTCCATCCTATAAGGCCAAAGGAATGAAGATCCTTACTCAGTGTTGCTGATCAGTCACAATTCTTGGCAGACGTTCAGTTTGAGAAAGCTGCACCAACAGCATCAGCAGGAACATAACCCACTGCACTACTCATCACCAGGTGGAGACCTCTCTCGTGTCTTTACAGAGGACACCACTACAGCAACTCCATCCCCCAAGACACACCAAAGTCACTAAAACTACAAAACTGTGCCAAAAGTCTCATATTAGAGTGAATCCAACCCGCTTTCAAACCATTTCCACAGCTTGATGGTTTAGGGATGCACTATATCCACCTTATTTCAACACAGCTTTGTTCTGTGACTGTGTAAGAGTTCGGATTCATTTGCCACTATAGGTAAATAAACTCAACAACTGCAGTTAACAGTGGATCAATTTGTCCTACAAACCAGCGTGTTTATAGTTATGACAATACATATTTCAGTTATTATCATTGATTCTGGCTAAATGATTCAAAACGGACAAGGGACCTTATTTAATAGATGTTACAGATGGCAAACAATCTGACACTGAAAATCTAAGCGATATTGAATATCTGAGTTTCAGCACAATAGTCGTGTAGGTGAATAGTACAGCTCCCCTGCCCTAGACGGGGTGCACCTGACCTCTGCAGTGTGCTGCGACAGCACTGTCCATATCCAGAACAGCCAAGAGGAGTCTAAACCTATTTTGTCTATCAGGAAAAGCTCTTACTGGGGGAAACAATGTAAAGCAGGGGATACATTGCTTAGAACATTTCCAGGAGACACTAACTTACTACCTACCTACTTAAGAGGACACCTTTGCACTGGCTCAGGCTATCACGCAGTAGCCTGACATTCTAGGATGTTATCCTCACTTAAATCCTAACCCCTCAGCGATAAAGATGGCTAAATGTGTTGAAGCTTATTGGTAAGGTGTAAAAAGCTGAGTTATCCTTGCCTTGGGGGGCAAGATTCCCAAAGGTTTATAATCTGTTTCTTTCTCCAGCTCAGACTAAACACTTCCACGAATTGTGTGCCTTTTCCTACTTATTTGTGTTTGTTGTTCTCATTGTTGTTGTTCAAAATGAACAAACTTTAAACAATTGCTCAATATATCATCAATCCTTCTTCCAAAACATGTACTTGTCTTACCCTGATTCACTAAGATAAGTGTTATCTTTTAGACCTAGCAGGATGGTTTTAAAGTGAAATTGCACACAAAGGCAAAAAGAGAACGCGAAAAAGCTCGTAATAAAACACGAATCAATATTGGCTTGGCTTTTCAGAGATGTGAGAACTAAAGGATTTGAAATGTTGTAAAAGCAACGTGGACATAGTAAGGTACTTTATTGAACAGATAGACTGACATATGTAGCTCTCTAACAGAGTTCACTGTAAAGCATCATTTCACATGGGTTGTAGAACAGTGCTGAAATTTATTTTTAAGGAAGGAAAGTATCGTGTCTATAATTATAGCTTAAGTGATGTCTTCAGCTAGTCAGCTTGAGATCCTTTCCAATTAAACTGGTGATATCCCTTTAGCCTAGTAGTGAATGTTTTATGATCAGTAAGATAAACATATAAATTCACACAGCCAAGAAATTTGTTCTTCTGCAAAATGCATTCAGTTTTGTTTTTTTAGACCTCTGCATTGTGTGCCTTTAATAAGTTAATACTGGGCTGACATGTAAAGACTGGTGTTTAAATTTCCCTCTCCACTTCCTGTGAAGTGATGTATAGATGTTCCCTTATTCTTTATGCCGAAGGGAACTTCACTTACAGTCAAATGGAACCCACCTTTTGTTTCCTATTAACTGAAAGTCATTTGTTCGGTAATCAGACCACTCAAAATCTGCAGTGATTCTCAATTTGTGCATGAACACTTTATGCTCAAATACATGCAGGCACACAGTTTGTTAAAGGATCAATCTCTCACCCGATGACAGTCTCCTCCAGACAGCACTTCCTGGATGAAAACTGCAGGGCCATCAGTTCTGTTGGAGCCACCTCCAATGGTAATACCCAGACTGCAGGAGCGAGCGATTGATATCAGCTGAATCACCCCTTCACCTGGGTGGCTGAAACCAAACACACAAACACACTCACACATACTCAAAATGACTAGTGAAGTACAGAAGTAAACTGCTAAATCAAAATAAACTGTTAAACGACCCAGAATGTAAACTTTACTAGACTAAATAATTTGTTATCAGTACCTTAGGGAGCGTAGCAATGGTCCTGTGTTGTTGTAATTACTCTGAGATCCAGCAGGACTCAACAATAGAGGACTCTGAGATCTGGACGAAGACCCTGATGACGTGCTGTCCAAGTATCTGCCTGCTGTGACACAAAAAGTGAGATATGGTTATTAATACAAAATACCTGATCAAACTGACATACAGTAACACTACGTAGTTAGTAATTATGCAAGCTTATATAATAACCACCAGAGGGCAGTGACACAATCCATAAAGTTATCCATTTCACTCATATCCATATCCAAAAACACTGGCTTCTTTACAGTAATCCACAATTTGAATAAAAGTTAATATTGGAACTCTTGGAACACTGTTTGTCTGAGCTAACTGTTGTATATTGTAGCAAAAACTGAAAAAATAAACAAACGGAAAATTCTCTTCAAAGACCATGTAATCTTTAAATGAATACAACGTTTTTTTGAGCAAATTTTGCCAGTCTCGGAAACTTCCTTGAAACTTAATTCGTCAAAAACAAACACAAAATGTCCATACGAAGCCATTTGAACATAACTCCTGTAAATCTCTCATTTGCACTTTTGAATTAAAGACTCAAATGAAACTCTTTGCTGTGCTTAAAGCAAGTTACATCATTAGAATATTCTACACAGAGGGGAGAGCAGGGATAAGACTGAGCGCTCGCTCCGTTCTCAAGAACTTTTCCTGTGAAGCGTCTTTCCTCCGGCAGAAACAGATGTTCAAAATTGCATAATGGACAAATGCGCTGTCTTAAGCCATTTTCAAGGGCTGATTTGTTTCTCCCCCAAACATTATAATTATAATTGACTTGAGCCCTCCAAAAAAGAGATTGTTTTTTGAAAACACAGTTTGTTTGACTCCTGTTTTTCATTTATATTTGAGAAAGAGTATGAATGTAGAAGTCAAAATGGATAGGGATGAATGGTTAAGAGATGTGATGTGAATTTCTTTCTCTATTCCTCCTGTTTGTTATCCAGTTGTTATCCAGGATCATATTACATGAATCAGCAATTCATAACCTTAGTTATGTCAGGAAGTAGTGAGGTTATGAAAAGAGATATTCTAAACCCAGGCACAAAAATGAATGTATAAAGAATTTTTATTATGTGCATTTCATGTAAACTTGAAAGAATATACATACTTTGCTGAATAGGAGAATTCCTGGTGGATCCCGTGCTTCCGTTTGAGCCATATTTTTCAAGGAGCTCTGCAAATTCTCGACTACACAAAGACAAAAGAAGAAATAACAATAATGCAACCGTCCAAGAAAAAAAAATCTTCTTTAGACACTTACTGTAAATGACATAACAGTCCTTACTTCCCTTGCACTATTGCACTAACAGCTTGCACTATTCCAAAATAATATCATGCCAGTTACAGTAATTAAGACGGAATGTTATTATGTTCACGTTATCTACACAATCCAAATATACTCTAAGCAGATACAAGTACTCTCTAGAGACTTCACTGATTCAGTGATTAAAATATTCCACATCATTACTAGAAGGGAAAAGCATGACCAATGTTATAAATCTACTCTAAACTTTTACAGTAATCTGCTGCAAGTAGTCTGAATACCAATATAGGGCTCGACAATAAGGTGTTTTTTGACTGGCCTCGTATGGCCCGTAATTAAAAATTGTACTTTCCCTTCCAATATTTTCATTGGCCCAACCACAAAAAAAAAAAAAAAAAAAAAAAAAACATTTTTATCATTTTACTTTTAGAAATGTACTGTATTATTATATGTCCCAGAAAAAGAAAAAGATTTAGATAGATAGATAGATAGATAGATAGATAGATAGATAGATAGATAGATAGATAGATAGATAGATAGATAGATAGATAGATAGATAGATAGATAGATAGATAGATAGATAGATAGATAGATAGATAGATAGATAGAGCTAGAGATCATTGATAGATAGATCATTGTTCTCTAACTGAAAGATAAAGAAATGTAAATGGATTTTGTGATCAGCCTATTGAGTATAAATAAACATGCTGAGTTCTCTTTGAGTTCCCCTTAGTTAGGCTGGGCAATATCTACAATCTATTTAAATATTCCCCTCCATCTCCATCCCAGGCCAATTTTATACCCCAGACACCTCTTGAATGTCAGATATAGGTCAACAGAAATGTCCTGTCACTTGATTCAAACCTTATTCAGTTATGGACATGTGTTCATTACACACTGGCTCAGCCACTGGCCTCTTTACCTACATACAGGTGTCCCTGAGTGATCCCAGATCTTTGCCTGTTTTAACCACCATTCAAAGCGACTATGTGGGTTAAGAAGACTATACAAACATAGCCAAGCCTTCAATAACTAGACTTCTCTGCATTCCTCCATTTCAGAGCCGAATCGTATACTCCAAGCCCAAAATATCTAGGTGTACTCAAAGTGACAGCTTTCGAAGTGCGTGATGCAATGCAAAAAGAGCTTTTTCCTCCGTCCTCAGGACAGGTTATCAGTGTGGATTAAAGCGAGGCAGGTCACACAAGGTTGTGATGCATATGGTAAGGAGCTGACTCTAAAAGGCATGAACACTGTCTCAATAAACCACTATGTATACGTGCACATTCTAAAACCATCTTCCTCATAAATACACACAAACAAAAAGCCCAGAAATGCTGCGCTCAGTCTTTCGGTCCCTGAAGACGTCCAGGTTGTTGATATGTGAGTGAAGGCAGCGGAGGTCTTTGCATGGAGGCAGAGGCGTAATCCCCTCAATGCGCATTGGTTAAGGGCAGAACGCAGATTAAAGCATGGAGACGCAAGGACTCATCTCATCATGGCTTAAAATGTGAATCCGTTCACATTCTCCCTCGCACTCGCTCCCTCCATTTCTCCACGCGTGGAATGGCTTTTTCCGTCATTCATACAATCCCTGGGCACAGTTCAAAAGTACACTGCGGTCATGCCACTGACTCTCACAGTAAACACATCTGGGTTGGGTTCCAATGTAATATTGTATGTCGGTGAGTCTGAAATCACGTACTGTCTGAGAAGGTACTACATTTGTATTTGAATTGACTTTGAAACTGTTATAAATGTATGTTCTATATAGTATGAAAATGGGTAGTTTGAATGAAGTTCCAACATACTACATTAGCCATCTTGCTACTGTCACATGACCTACCAGTTATACTTTTAATTAATCTATTAATTAAGGCTAACAGTAGAATGTAACACCCAGTTTTATGGAAAAACATCCTCGTGTTCTTGATGCTCAATCATATCAAAGAGATCCTGAACAGGTGCACTATTATTAGAAATGTACAGAAAGAAAATGGATATGGAGATTTGCAAAAGTTGACATTCAACAACGTTACATTTATTAGTGGTTACCCTAATCGGTTACACTTTATTTCGATAGTCACTTTAGACATTCTACTAACTATAAGTAACTTTTCAACTACATGTCAACTAACTGTCATTAGAGTATTAGTATATTATAGTAGACTGTTAGGTTAGGGTTGGGAGTTAGGGTTCAGGTTAGGAGAACAAGTTGACTTGTAGTTGCTAAGTTACTTACAGTATAGTCAGTTGAATGTCTGTTGGGGGACCAACAAAATAAAGTGTTAGCAGATATTAAGCAGACAGTCTACTAAAACTCTAATGATAGTTAGTTGACATGTAGCGGCAAAGTTACTTATAGTTAGTTGAATGTCTAAAGTGGACTATCAAAATAAAGTGTTACCATGTATACTATACTAAAAGTGACAGTAAAGCCATTTATAATCAAATAAATTAAAAACATTAGAGCATTAAAAATGCTCATGACTGCAAAAATGATTGTTCGTTACTAAAAGGCAAGTGAAAGGTCACTACTAGGATTGCCATATACAGGAATACTGATTTTCCATTGATAATTTTTTCTAGAGAGCGAAAGGAACAGAGGAGGGCGGCAGTATATTGGAGCCATGCGGGCCAGAAGCTCGTCTTTGAATAGCTCGCCAAGAGACTCACAGGCACTGCCAATACTCAGTCAGATCTAGTTTATGAACAAAATTATTCATCTTTCATTTAATTATTTAACGTGTCTTCTAAAGGGTGGACATTCAAATGAAATATACTCAGGTCAGACATTCATAGATCAATATCAGTGGATGAGAGTGTTTAAGTGATGGCAAGTGTTTAAGCTGGTTAAATGTCACCAAGTAAGTGGAAGGAAACATTCCTTTGGTTTGCTTGAAAAGATAAACATTTTCAATAATTATTTTGTAATTGTTTTTTACACAAACACTTCCGTGGCGTCTAAAGGAAAAATTAAGTTTTAAAGAAGTCTCATGCTCACCAAGGCTGCATTTATTTGATAGTAAAAACAATAATATTATGAAATATTATTACAATTTAAAATTACTTTTCTATTTTATAATTTATTTTAAAATGTAATTTATTCAAAAGCTAAATTTTCACTGAATTGTCACATGATCTTTCAGAAACGACTCTAAAATGATGATTTGAAGCTTAAGAAACATTTATTATTATCATCAACAATGTTAAAAATAATTGTGCAGCTTAATATTTTTTGGGGAAATCATGATATGTTTTTTTCAGTATTCTTTAATCATGATTATAATTGTGCTTTGAATGTAATGTTCTTTTTTTTCTTTCCGGAAGCAACATTTAAAAGCGACTTTTTAAATGTCTAAATTAAGTTTGTGATCTTCTGAGCAGATGTTATAATGGATGGATCAGGGGCTTACCTTGCTTCCTCATCTCTGGCAATGAGAAGCTGCATGTGATTGGTTGAGGATGCTGATCTAAGAATATCCACCGCTCTAAAATCAAAGAACAATATCAGGCATCAAGTGTTTTAAAGGCAATAAAATAATTACAGTTTCAGAGGTAAAAGTGAATACAAGCTAAATAAAAAGTCCTTGAGGTATTTAACTGAATTTATTTTGAAGTCATCACTCTAAAAAATGCTGGGTTGTTTTAACCCAATTCTGGGTAAAATATGGACAAACCCAGCCATTGGGTTACATTTTTAAATTACATTTTTTACCCAATGGCTGGGTTTGTCCATATTTTACCCAAAATTGGGTTAAAACAACCCAGTATTTTTTAGAGTGCAGAAAGAACATACAGAATAGAAGAACAAATGAATAAAAAACAAATAAGAGAGTGTTAGTGTAGTATGTACCGTTCACTTGTCACACCAATCAAGCTTTCACCATTCACCTCCAATATTTGGTCTCCAGGCTGCAGGTTTCCTAATGAAGCAATCACAAAATAAAAACTATAAAGACCCATACAATGACTTGACAAATATATTACTATTACATACTTTTCTTACATTGCATAATATTCTTAATATTTTTCCATTTCTACCATTAAAAGGTTTGGGCTCAGTACTTTTTTTTTCTTCTAAACAAATGTATACTTTTATTCAGCACAGATTTATTAAATTGATCAAAGGTGACAGTAAAGACATTTATAGTTTTCCATAAGATTGCAATAATATTCGTTTTTACTGTATTTACTTCCAGACCCCAAACTTTTGAAAGAAAATATATGTACTCATTCAATCTGTAGTTCACTATGAAAGATTCAAAAGTAAAGGCATTTAAGAACTAAAAACATAAGCAGCTAATGTTGATCACCTAAATAAATTAATTAAATATATACTTTTGTTTTGTCACACTAAGGTGTGTAAATTGATCATGACTTTAATGTTGACTCTGTTAGCTGTGACCATAAACTCAACTTTTGTTCAAGCGTTAAACAGTTTTAATTTCATAATTTAGCAACTTTTTGTGTTTTTTTAGCAAATTGTGGCTGCAGAAGAGACAGCATACGGCCCTCAAACCTTTTCATTTCTGTAGGACATAGATGTAGGTCAGGGTTATGTCTTCTACCTTCACTTCAATGATATCTTGTCAGAGCAAATCAAATCCGGAACGGAACAAGCTGCAAAGTCTCAAAGGAGTCACCTATGTCTAACTTTGTCTCAGACCACTTTAGCCAACTACCACCTTTCGGGTATCCGATTTTACAGTCACACTGGATTATCATCAGTACTGTGAAAATTTGTCTAGATTCTTTCAGAATATCTGTCTCCCAGTTGATTACTATGTCTTTCCATCAAACCAAAGAGAGTAGCCAGAAAGCAAGCTAAGTTCTCTGAATGGCAAGCTAACAGCAATGGTGTGAGATGGCAAAAACAAGCAAAGACCCCGCAGAGCGCATGCGCCCATATAAGCTCCCATTTACCCCGTGCTCTGTAGCAACAGAATGGGAGACAGACTCTAATTCCAGTCCGTCAGGGGCATTAACTCTAAGCACAGGGATGACGCTAAACTCCCCTTCACACGTGAGAGACTTAAGCAGAGGTATACGCAGTGAGACAGACAATCTGTTTCGCAGAAATGTAAACAGCTGCACTGACACAGTTTTCACACACCTTTCTAAATTTGTGGAATTTTCTGTTTTATTATAATGTGGCTGTTTCACATTCAAATTCTGATTTTGGTTTAAATGTAAAGCTAATCTCCAATTACAGTAAAAGATTTGATTCATAGCAACAAGATTGATTCACTTTGTTTATTAGCAAAAGCTGTTGATTATAATGTGGATCAATGCAATTTAATCAAGCTCGCTGGTCAGAGCAGATTTCAACCTCCCATTGTTGACTAGCCTGAGCCTCGCCACTTAGGTTTTGCTGGTAAAAATGTGATTATGCTAGTCTAACAGTTAAACCAGTAGGAAATTCATACCTTTCTGAGCTGTTTCTTTTTCAGGTTTTGGACTGTGTCTGAGAGACTATAAATCTCAGATATAAATATGTTCTTACATTGTTGAATAAATGTATAAAGTTCCGCTATTATGCTACTTTAAAGGTTACTAATTTTGTAGGTCTTCTACAATAGGTTTATATGCATCCAAGGTCAAAAAACACTTGCATTGCTCATCACCTCTTTTCTCACAGTGTCTAAAATAGCTTGATAAAGGATTCGGTCTCTCTAAACACGTCCTTTCCGAGAGCCTCATCTGTTCTGATTGGTCAAATGGCCCATTTCAGTTCTTTGAATTGCATACAAAGTGGATTCACAGTACTTTGTTCACAGGCAGCCAATGAAGACCATAGACTGGCATTGCACAAATGTGTATGTAGATTTGAAACAGGAAGACAATAACTTTATCTGTCGAGCACTTAGATCTTTAAAACTTCCCAGACCTTTTGCATTCACAACACACTCCATTTAAGATAATATTAAAAAAAAAGAAAAAAAAAACATAATAGGGGCAATTTAAGGCAAAAAAATATATATCTTTGAGAAAACTTACCATCACTGGAAGCAAGGCCACCAGGTAAGATCCTCTTGACATAAACGCCATATTCCTCTCCTGTTAATTCTTTCACACCACCGATCACTTTGATTCCTTAAGAAGAGACAAAGCATCACTCAAAGTAAGACGTTGTAAAATATTATTCTTACATTTATATTGCTGTTGAAATTGTATTTATCAATCAAATGTAGTATTTATAAATCAAATAATTTAAACAAAACCCAGAAATCATCCCACAGACCCCGACAACTGGATTTTATGGCCATTCTGATTGCATTCAAAAAGGAAGAAATTGTGCGCACATCCCAAAAAATGTTGGCAGGTGCTCGATCAAATGAAGGATCAAACTCAAAAATGAACAAGAATCGGCACACTGCCACTTCTGCTCCCAAGGATTTATTCAAATGAACAACGTTTCGACCCAAAGGGTCTTCGTCAGGCCTTTTTGCATTTTTGGACTGCATTGCCAGTACTCACTGACAATTAGGTGCTTGTAAAATGAAAGATGTAAACATTCACTAATGTTATTCTGAAAAAAAAAAACAGACTATGATTCCTTCTTTCTCTATCTAAACAAGAGGAGATAAATAACAACTTTCATGTTTACCATGAACATTATACAGCTTTACCTGATAAATGCTGAAAGAGGTTTAGCTCTAAAGTTTTATTTGCTCTGAGAGACTCCAAAAGCCATTTTAATAGTTATAAATTCTTGACTTTTTATTGGAACTGGTTATAGACAATTGGTTGATTATAAGATCAATTGCTTAAGTGCACTTTGATATAACAGTCAAAGCTTCAATATTCTTTTCTGTCTGATCTGAACAAAATATTTCAGAGAATTGTGTTTTTTAACATTTAGCATTTAATGTACTTTTTATTGTGTATAGTGTAAATTGTGACACAAATATTGTCCAAAGGTTTGGGGTTTGTAAGAGTTTTTTATAATTAATACTTTTATTTTGAAAGAATGTGTTTAAGTAAAACTGACAGTAAATGCATTTATTATGACACAAAAAATTTATATTTCAAATAAATACTGTTGTTTTGAACTTTCTTACAGTAAATCAAATAATGCAGCCTTGGTGAGCATTAGATACTTATTTTAACAAAGGTATAGTACGATAGTGTCCTTTCGGTTATTTTTCACTTTGGCAATCCAAATAAATGCAAAATGGCTAAATAGTGCAGCCCAGCTGCTGTAGTGTGTTTGCATTTGTGTCTGATTTTAAGTCAGCTAAATAAAGCCTTAAACAGCTTATGTTCAAACAAGTCTCCCTAAAATTAGGATTTACAACTGACTCTGGTCAGTATTTACTTCTAAGCATTACATACATAGAAACTTCAACTCTGAGAGTTTCAGGTAAATGTTGTGAGGCTTGAATCCCCCTGCAAGTAGTTATTCTTTTGCAATTTGAGCAAATGGGAACACAAAAATTATATTTAATGTTTTCTCTCATTTACTGCTATAGAAGTTTACCAAACTATGACCCCTTCCGCTTCTGAGAAACCCGGAAATGTGAAAAGGATCAGCAAATCAGTGTTGTCAGGCCATTAGTTGTTGAAACAACATGAATGAGCTCTGACGCCAACAAAGCATGAAAGCCTTTAATGAGATGAGCATCTTTCACACCCAACGTAATCTAATGAGTATTTGTATGTATTTTACGTAAAGTGTGGTTTTACAACCAATACAGTTATGTACCTGTCCATAGACACTGAAATGTACAATACTGACATACTGCCAGCACTAAAACGTTCATTTGCAGGCATTTCAGAAGCAGAATACACTTCCATTGATGGACAGTACAGATTCTTTAGATTTGCTTTGGTCGCGCGGTTTAGTCACACTCATGGAATAATAAATATCTTCTTTTTGCTTCAGGCTTATTTGGTATTAATAGAAATACAATGTACTGCCACTAATTGAGTTTTGAGCTGATATTGCATATTAATGGATTCACTTTCGGATTAATCTTTAATGAGAAGAACTGCAACCCGGTTATCCCCAAAACAAGTGCTAAACTTAAACTAAACATTTTTCATATACTCTTTTTTTTTTATATAATTCAAATATTTATTGAGTTTTGCATTTCATAACACACAATAAACAAAACACAAACATAAACAGTGAGGTTCAATGTAAATGTAGACATGTAGGTGCAGAAATTGTCCTATTGTTCTTTCATTGTTTCATTGGTACAGTGTAGTCTTCCCAGCATCTTTTCGCACGCAGCATTTTCAAGTCATTCTTTTTTTTCCACGTTCCAAGTGTTGGGGCATGAGACTCAAAATCGAGAACATGTTACCAAAGCAGTATTTAACACTCTAAAAGTATGTTTATTTAACATTGGCACTTCTCTTTTGTCTCCGAGTAAACACAGTCTAGGTGATTTGGGCAAACTACAGGGTAACCACCCTAGCATGTAGCTTAAAACACTGCTGCAAAAAGCAGAAATCACCGGGGCATTCCCAAAGGGCATGCACCAAAGTACCTTTAGCTATTTGGCATTTCAAACAATCTATTAAGGATTTTGTATTGAATAAACTTGCCCTCATCATATACTCTAAAATAAATGCAAAGTAAGGACTGTGTCCAGGAAAGTGTCACACTTTTAAGTCTGTACCTGATAGCAATGCAAAAATGCGTTGATTTATCTGTGACGTTTTTATTCAGAGCACCACTCCTGAGTCTGTATTCCTGAAAATGTCTCCTAAAACAGAATCGTCTAGTAACACAATGGATTGTTGACTGTGCAAGTTGGGATGTAAGAAGGACAGGTTTAAGGAGCTTAGAGCTGCCTTCAAATAATGTTTTTGATCTATTGTGAGGAGGGAGATCAGGCTGCGGTATAAATATAACAAAGACAGCCCAAGACTTAAAAGACTGGAAAACAACCGTACCCTAAACCTGTGCCTACATTTCGCTTCAAGGCTTCGCCATACGTTTTAAAAGATAAAGGTTCGCAAAGTTTTTTTTTGTTGCAGTAATGCCATGTAGAACCATTTTTGGTTCTTCAAAGAACATTAAACATCTTAAAAGAACCATTCTTAATATGAAGAATATTTGAATAATATAAAGAGCCTATTTCCACCATAAAGCATCTTTTGTGCACTGGAATGGTTCAATGGATGTTAAAAACTCTTCATGGAACTACAGATGCTAATAATGAAGAGTCTAGAGCCCCTTTTGCAAATACAGTCTTTACTATCCCTGCTGAAAAATCCAGCTAAAACCTGGAGCCTGGTTAGTTGGTTTATCAGGCTTTTTCACTCAGTCACTCTTAGCTGGTAGTGGAGAACCAAAGTCAGCTGGGAAGCTTCTAAGCTGCTCCACTTCCAGCTAAACCAGCTAACCAGCCAAGTAGGCTGGAGCTTTCAGCATATGAGATCATGTTCAGGAACTCACATGCCCCGAAATCACAAAATGTGGAGGAAAACATTCCATTTTAGGTAAAATTAACTATATATTACATATAATTTGGTTGTAAAGTAACCAAAGTGTTGCATATTTTACTGGTTCAAAGATTAGTATGTGTATTTTGTCCAAAAATTGCAACTGCTTTGTATCACTTATTTAAAAGCACCACAATTACTAAATTGACATAGGGACTACTGAACAGATATTTAGACGTTTATTTTAAAATGCAAAAGTATTGAAATCAAGATATTTAATCTGCAAACCCTTGCATTTTTACAACACTATAAGTGTGTGTCATTGGGTAAACAAAAGTTCTACACACAATTGCGGTCTTCATGCCCACTTGGGCAAAATATAGGAAATACGTCATGTACATTGACAAGTGGTCAAGTGTGGGTATTTGGACAGGCCAATAAAGTTCTGTCAAAGCGGTACAGTATGGTAAATTCCACTGCTTTTAACTGTTTTTCTATGTAAACATGCATTAGACCAGTGTTACTCATTGCGTGGCTCGTAGCTCACATGGCAGTAAATATTACGGTGATGTGATCACACAGTCACTCCAGATATTTCATAAAAACAGTAGTGCTATAACATAACCCATCAAAAACTCAAAGTGTCAGTTTACAAATCATTTCGATCGGATTGAAAAGGGTGGTTTAGTATGCCTTTTCTAATCCAAACGAGGGAACATGTTGAACACTGAAACTGAATGGACGAGGTATGACGCGCAGAACGAGCTGTTGTTCCTGTTGAATAAAAGTGTCATATAAATGAGTGACCCGTCATTCTATACTTCTCCTTTCACTCAGCGCCTGTGAAGTAATGCAGGACGTCTCACCAGTTCTTGTTTCAGATTATCATCCACAGACACTGGTTTTAGGTTTTTTTACTGTGTGATAAACACAAGCAGTTCAGTTTCATATGTTCATAGTCTTCAAATTATGACCAGAAATGGATAAATATTAAGTCTACTCTTTAAAACAAATAACCAATGTAGGAGAATGGTTTTAAGTGCAAACAGCAAAAAACTTTGTATAGTCGTCCAGTGTACACACGTCAGAAATGTATTCTGATTTAAAGCTTGTGACTTATAAATGCGCACATAAACCCGATCACGTTTAACGTTCATGTAAACTACAATACATTCAGATTCATGATACATGATGGGCTAATGTAAAAATTTCTTAAATTCATGAATTTTTTTGTCATTAAGGGAAATCATCTTGTCTCAGTTACAAATTTGACTGGTAAATCATATAGAATGCTTTTTCCCCCGCCCTTTTGTATTTATTCCATTGCATAGACCAATTTTATGTTCAGGGATGACAGATTCATAATCAGATATTAATGACTGGATGTGACTTTTGATACATTCTGTAAAAATAGCTCTCCTACTGTCTTTGTCCTATCAGTGTGGCTCTCATGAAAAAAAAAAGTGAAGACCACTGCACTAGACGAACATCTGAACATTGCTCTGCGTCTTGTGCTCGAGACCCTGCCTTCTTTTCTATTCATCAGTGCTGACTTACTATTGTAACTATTATGTGTCTCGTGTTTTTAAAGGGATACTCCCCCAAAAAATGAAAATTCTGTCATCATTTATGCCTGGTTCAGATTACATGATTTTTTTTTTTGTCTGTTACGATAGTCACTGTGTCAGATTCCATGATTTTGACTCCTAAAATCTTGTCGTGTCATGGATGAGAAACATGTCAGACTACACATTGCTTCCTTACCAGTCATCGCGTGCCATCTTTAACGAGGTGCGTGATGTCATCGAGAAGGCGAAACTAGTAGCGACTAGCGAGTGACTTCCGGAAACAAATGTAACGATGAAGCGGTGAGTGTTGTATTGGCTGTCCTGTGTTCAGAAAAAAGTAAAAAAAAGAAAGAAAACCCGACAATGGACACGTTCCTGGATTGCTCGAAGAGGACAGTATGGGCTGTCAATCCTCCAAAGAGAACTTGAGGTGAAATATTGTTTTCTTATAAATTTTTACTTTTAGCACCACCGTCTCTCTTTCGTTAAGCCATTTTTTAAAGTTGTGTACGGAAAAGCTTGTGCTCCTATTGGTCAACCTCATACATGTGACGGAACCCGTCGTGGACGGCCGTTAAAAAAAATTAAACATGCTAGTCTTTTTGTTGTGATGTTGGGAAGCATCGCAGACGCGACGTAGGTTGTCGCCCACTCTGACACACTATACGAGATGATGCAATCGAATCTTGCGGCCCGACGCCTGTTGTCGTTTACGAATCCCCACGACACACTACATCAAACGGATCGTGCCAAAATCGGGCTAAAATCGTGTTATCTGAACCAGGCATTACTCACCCTCAAGTTGTTGCAAACCTACAACATAGTATGTTTTGTTTCTACTATGGAAGTCAATGGTGCCAAACAACGATTGGTTCCAATCATTCTTCAAAATATCTTCCTTTGTGTTCAGCAGAAGAAAGAAACTCATACAGGTTTGCAACAACTTGAGGGTGAGTACTGTAAATGACAGAATTTTATCCCTTAAGAGCCCAACCGTATTCTGTGAACTCATTCCCTAACGATTTATAATAATTTGCCTTCTGAAGTTGTCTGCACAGACTGAAGACAGTGTTTTAAATGATATCGAGATAAGATAGGATATTCAGTAAATTTTACAAACACACAAATGTTAAAAGAGGAACATCTTATGAGGCACCTACCTAATCCATTCTCACAGTCTGTAAACTCCATAGAATGCACTGCTCGATCTACTCCATACGGACCCATAAGTGTCCTGTGCAGCACAAAAAAGGTGGAAACATGAAAAAAAACAACAACTTAGTAACATAGTGAGACGTGTTTGATTCAGAGAAATAATCAAACTTCTCTCTGAATTCAGTTAAATTTGAAGCAGGTCACATTCATCTGAATCTGAATATTGTAAACAAAATTGTCACTGTACATGCTGTGCTTGTGGACTGATATTAGCATCAAGACCAGTTATTTCCAGTGGGGAATCAGTATTAATTATTTAGCATGAATGTCCTGCTTTGGACAGGCTCCTAAAAATGTACTCGTTCAAACGAACTCAGAATCTGTGTATGATTCTGATTTTTGAGTCAGTAACAGGGATTAAATTTACTTACGCTCTTAAATCATTAAGTAAAATGATGTTATTAACTAAAGAAACTCAACCTTGTAGGCAATGGAAATGCTGATACTATGCAATTGAAAGAACAAAATGTTGTCTTTTCGTAGGAAATACAGTATATCAGAACACCGACAGGGCCTTGTTTACCAGCACTACACCATGAAGATTACAAGCATCCACCACAATCCATTATTTCCTGCAAGCTTGGTGCACTGACCTTGAAACTGTACTTTACATTGTCAGAACCTAGACTTTGTCTGAGGCTCAAATTCAAGCTAAACATAAACAAGAGTTATGTAACAAAGTGTGTGCCCGCTGTCCCCAACACAGCGCCCTCTAAAACAGCCTTTTAAAATGATATGAAATTATACTTTTCAGGGTTGTTAAAGTCAACTTGTGATTTTAATAAAATGGCTATTGCAATCTTTTAAATGTATCAAATAAATATGCTTAATGCAATAATGTATCACATACAAAATTTGATATTATTTCTAATTCAAAGAATTCAGAAATCCTGAAACTAAAATGATGCTTATTTTATTCCAACAATAATTCTAGTTTGTTGACAGTAAGAAAACAAAAACGTGCGCATATAGTTCCACGAGTTTATATACATCAAGAATCGTTACCAGGTAGGTAATAACAAAAAACAGTCATAGTCACCCTAATACCTTGAGTAAATATTCATCATATATATATTTTAATAATTTCTTTTAGTTTTATTGTAATGAAAATATAAAAGCTAAAAATTATTTAGTTTTGCACTTCATGCCTAACATCATAGCCTTCTCCATTCAGACTTTACGAAGTCGTGATTGTGAGCTCGTGCATTCATATCATTCATCATGCATTCATAGGGCGTTCATATATTTTTTTTTTACTAGGAAACTAGTATTTACAATAATTTCGATAGTATGTGAAGGCACCATAAGCATCAAGAGGTTTGATACTAACCTCTGATCAAAACAAAGTTTCATGAATACCATGATGCATGCATGGATTTAGTGAGTAGCCTACTACGCACAAACACATAATCTCCAGTTGATTAGAACACATTATTAGTACATCCTTTAAAGTGTTGTGAATTCTTCAAAATATAGCGGGCAAATAAATTAAAATATGCCCTTTTCAAACTATAACTACAGTCAGTGCAAATGTGTAGGTTATCTAAAAAAAATGGTGAAGAAGCCGTCGTTTAACGCATTTTACTCACGTTGTTCATTTCTCTCAACACTCATGTTAGTAAATACGCAACATGCACGCTTTATAAGTGACACACCTGAGCACAGCACAGGTAAAATAAAGTACCCAAAAGTCACCGAAACCTTCACTAGAGGACAAAAGTGACAGAGCGCTTATGTCGACGTTTCTCTCGAAAACCCTCGAGCGCTTATCACTCACTGGAACTAATGAGCAGAAACAAACGAGACACAATGCAGCTCAACAACCACAAAATGACAAAACAAACGTTTTACCTGCTAATCATAACTGCTCCCTTGTACATGACGGAAAATGTTGGCATTTTTAAGCGGTTTTTGCGCATCCAGCGACGCGTAGCGTATGCCCATTCCTCTCGTGATCAGCGCCTCGCGGAGGTCCGACACAGCGCGAGCCACATGATTCACTGCTACAGTCAGCTCTAATACAGATGATCCTAAACATCACCAACTTTGCCCACAGATTAAATCTTATGCAACAGAAATGGGGGATCGTGTTTTTTATGTAGATATTTTAGAGATAGAGATTTTTTTGGCCAGTTTAACAATGACTGAACAGGTGGTTCTAAAACTGAGAAACAAACAGGCTATTCACGTTTATGAAAGTAAAGGTTTAACGTGATAAAAAAAGTCTTACTGACATTACGCTATTTTAATCCATGGGGTCTTTCAAGGACACCGGGGCACAAGTCTATTATAGAAATATGTTGGTTTTCTTGGGCATCAATTTAGACCTGATTTGGGAATTGAAACTGATAAGCTACTTTAATCTATCGATATCTATGCAGAGTCTCCTGACAAAACAAAGGATGAACGAAACAAAATAATCACACTGCAGTGAAGAAGTAGATAAATGTTATACTAGCTATATTACTACACTGTAAAAACGAACTTTTTGGTGTAGTAATATATATTAAATGAATCATCATAATTTTTACTTAATAAAATTAAAATTCAATGTGAACTAGAATTTTCTAAGTAAAATTTTAAATATCTACGCGTTTAATTCATGTAATAAATTAACTGGTTGGAAAGAGTAAATCTTATTATATATTTTCTTGTAATATTTAAACGTTTTATAGTCCCTTCACATAAACATAGTAATTTTAAGTAAATTTTAATAGAAAAGCATAGCGCGTTTGAATCCGCACATGCGCGTTTGGACAAGACAGTCTAACTGCGCACTTTGGATCTGAGACGAGACGAATTGGCGGGCTGCTGCGTGGCTGCTTTCTGTCGTGTTTGAGGTAAGTTTGTCTTTCTGTTTTACATTTAATAAAACATGAGTCTGTGTGGGTTTTGATTGATGATTCTTGTTTATTTGACTCAATAAACATTAATGCTCACCTTACAACATGGCCTCATATTAGTGCAACGCGTGTGGGTTATCCATAACAGTATACTGTATCGTTAACCCCTTTTTCTCCTAACGTTACATTATTTATATTGAATCGGAAGTTTTCAATAGTTTTATAGATTCACAAAGAACTGTTTTTCGTGTAAAAATGTCAAACTAAGTAGAAATTAGTAGACAATCTTTACCGTTTTAACTGCTAGCTAGCTAAAATTGGGCCTTAAAATTAACAATTTAATGTCAACCGCTCTTAACGTTATACTGTTGACTATGGAAAAGTTTGAATGCTCTTGCTGAATATTGCTCAGGATGGAACGTTTACACATAAAGCTTTTTTTTTTTTTTTCAATCGCACTAAATCGTGCATAAATGAGGTCTTAAAGTAAGCAGGGCTGCGTTTCTAAAATCATCCTGTTTCTAAAAGTTGATTGTAGAAAATAGAGATCGTGAGTGGCAATCATGGGCAATATTAATATTGACAACAGTAACTGATTTAGCACATGAAAAAATAAATAAACTTGAAATGTACTAAACTCAAAGTTAAAATTGAAATGCCAAATTAGTGTTTCTCTTTTGGATTTGCACATTACAAAAGAAAGTGCTGGATTGTTCACTCCACTGTTGATATCTACAGTCCTTGTATAATATACCCTTGCTCCCTGCATCAGTCTATTTAACCAAATTTCTGCTGTTGTACTCTTGAATCATTTTGTCACATTAGATCAAGGAGGAATTCAGGAGAATCGATCATGGGGCAGAGATTCATGTTCAGACTTGACCAATGCACATCAAGACTTATTGCCCTGATGAAGGCCATGGAAGGTGTTGTGGGGACCAACTGAGGCCATTTCTGGACAAACTGAGTCAGGTGTGTTTGATCAAAAGTGTGCTTGTTCACATTTTTTTAAATAAGATATACTTAATGTATTTCTCATACATGCATGTACATTTATTGTATAGCTTTTAATACAATATAGATTGCATTAAAGTAGCTTTACTGTATTAAACAGACAAAAGTCAAAAGTTCAGAAATTTCAGTAATTAGAATTTTAGTCATAAATTACAACTTAAATTTCAAATATTAAGAATCTGTACTGAAGATGATAGAGTTTCAGCGACAGTTCTGCTTTGGCCAAAATGCAAGGCAGACAGGAACAGGAAGTAGTCACTTTGCTCTAAGTACTCAAATCAGTGTTCCTTGCGCATGAATGCTTTTGTGTTGTCACTTGATTTCATTGAGTTCATTGTGTATGAATAAAAGGTTGTGTAATGGTACAATATAAATCTGTTCACAGACACAAAGCCTTGAGATGGGAATCAGTTATCCGCAGCCTCATTCTCTACTTTGACGATAAAGAAGATGATAAACTGTGTTTTGAAGATGAACAGAGTTCTGACGGGCTCGGGACGACATGAGGGTGAGTCATTAATGACATCATTTTCACAATCACGAAACGTCGCCATGGAAATAATAAGGAGATATATTTTAAAATGAAAGTCGCACACTGGGTGGTCAGCTAGAATATTTTAAAGTTGCGTGTGAAAGGTTAAACAGAGTCAAATTTATTTCACAGAAAACTGCACTCCAGTTTATAGCACCCTAAAAAGGATAGTTCACCCAAAAATAAAAATTGTCATTGTTTACATTGTGTAAACATTGTTTGCACTCAAGTTGTTCCAAACCGTTGTGAGTTTATTTCTTCTGATGAACACAAACAAAGATATTTTAAAAGAATGTTGGTAATCAAATGACGGTAGCCATTGACTTCCATAGTAGATTTCTAATGGCTACAGTCAACTGTTTGATATCCCATTTTCTTCAAAATACAATGTATGTATGATATACCGTCCTTGTCCAGAAAAGGTAATACAGACATCATCAAAGTAGTCATGCAGTGACTGCAGTGGCTCAATTTTAAGTTTATAAAGCGGCAAGAATACTTTTTGTGCGCAAACATAATGACTTTATTCCACTATTCATTTCATGAATTCATATGCATAATAAAAAGCATAGGTGCACTCGAACAATCATTCATTAAAACGCATAAAACTTTAGTTTACAAAGACGTGAA